GTAATCTTTTTATTTTGCGTAATAATAATAATATTTCGATTGTAGAACGGTATAATATATAATATATGTATTATACTGTTAATAACATAATTTTATTTATTTTAAAAATATTATAAAATAACTAAGCATTCAAGCAACAAAATGTTTCGTCTTTTCATTGAATAAATGTGTGGTTAGTTACACAACTTGATCCAATCCAAAATATAAAAAATATAGGTATATAAGATATGTCGGTTACATACTTTTGTCGCTACAAATATTATAATGTATATATATATGTTAAAACTATTGCGTTTACTATATATACAAATCATAATTGGCAAGTGGTATCATATCAATGTTAATTACGTATTGGGTTGTCCAAAAAGGTTATATCGTAACTAATTATAGAATATCGTAAATGAGTTACGCACTCGTGGTTTAATGGGAAGTGTTGTATATGACGTTCATTAATTAGTCATATTTACGTTTTCTTGCCATGGTAATTCCTCGCATATAATACTACAGGGAACAGTTTTAACGTGATAAGTTTCACGTTGGTTTCATGCTATGGGAGAGGGAGAGTATCAAGCAACTAGGTGCTTTTTCAATATTCTTTAGGTTTATAAGACAGAGTCCGTAGAGTGTTTTTTTAGAATACATTAAGATAAACGTGGTTAATATAGGATATATCAAAATAATTATTTTGTTTTAGAAGAATGAGTGCACTAGCACACCTTGCTTTTATTTTCATTAAAAGACGGTCAGACTGCAGTTATTTGTCTACTCCGCATTAGCTATTAGGGACTAGTCAACGTCTAACGACAATTTTCTTATTTGTAGGCTTCCTCTACTATATATCTAAGATCTTCTTACCAATATTCATAGAATATACTATTGAATGAATATATAAGTAAGTTAGAGTTCATTATTTCGTCGACTCAATTAAATTTGATAATAGAACAATAGAGTCAATTTACCTGCCATTTCTATTTGATTTGCAGGTACGGCATTTTCCGAAGGTCGTTGCTTCCATATGAATCGATTCTGTCTACTGTTTACGTTATGAAATCCCCAAGCTCTACATTTGTGTCGTATAAAATGTAAATGGAAAGCTTTAGTGTTATTGTTTTGATCCTGACGAGTCAAGGATTGCGAGGTTTTAGAATCTTTTACTTGAAAAATTCATTTTTATGTATTCTTTCATTGGTTAGGATAACCTCCTCCGTTGATGTGAGTAACGAATTATATGCCGGTTCGATACACACAATTACTGGAGGCTAAGTCAAGATGCCTTAACAGTAGTGTATGTAGAAAGTCGATATCTAAATTTGCATGAAAATGACAGTTCGTGTCGACAAATTTTAATACAAATTTAGTTTTCTACTTTCTACATAGATTTAATTAGAATGAAGTACAAACAAAAATGAGTGACTAATAGTTTGGTCCTACTACAAAATAACTTTATTGTAGAGGAACCCTTTACTGCCTCCTGTCAGTAATATTACTTACACAAGCAGCCTGGGTGGTGAGACTGTAATGAGACCCAAGACAAAACGTTGCGTTCAATTGTGAACTAACGGACGTAATAACAATATATCGGACAAGAGATGCCGCTTGTTGACCAATCATAATCAAATGGAGTGCAAAGTCGTTATTCGTTTTACATTCTCACCCCTCTGGGGAAGATGGAAAAAAGTGGAAAATAGAAAAGCCGTCCTTCCATTAAATTTGGGGTCGAATTTGGGGTCCATCTTCTACCTTAAACCTTAACCTACATACAATATAGAATAACGTTATCATTCGATACTTTTTTCTTATTTATATGTAAATTTACTATAAATAAGTACATATTTAAAATAGCTTTTAACCCAATTAACAGAGTTCAACGTACTTTCGGCTAACTACTTTATCCGATTACTGCTTTGGAACACTTAATTCCAATTTGCATCCTGAGAGAGCTTTGTCTTTTATGCTATAATTACCTTTGTTTCATATAATTTTCATACTACTTTTTAAATATAGCAAGACTAAATTATTACTGGTATTACCCTCAAAATATTGGAGTGGGCAATGCTTATTTTAAAAATGAATTAAAATGTAGTCTTTTCTGTCATTTTTAAGAACAATTTCATCACAGGTAGTAAGACGTCAAAACAATTGAATATATATATATATTACGGTATACACGGTGCGCCTGTATTTTTCGTAGATATTTTTAGAAAAGCGGAGTTTGCGTGTCTATTTGCGGCGAATTTACTGGCCATCGACAATAAAAATATCGCATTTACAGTGAAACTTAAAACTTCTTTGAAAATTCATTTTTGAAATGTTAGCGTTTTGTAAGTGAAATGAAGTCATACATAGGTTTCATTTACAATAATTACCGGATTAGTTAAAGAAATAACGGTTCCAGTGACATTTTTATTTTTTAATTTCCACATTAAATACTTATTTGATTTATTGAAAACGATTTTAAAAGTACTTTAAAACATTTTAGTTGCCATAAGCGCAAAAGTTAGTGGTATTACATTGAGTACGTACAAATTCAGAGCTCTATACATTTTCTCATCTGTATTTGAATGTACATTTGCTATGAAAAGCGGTGAGTAACTTGATGTATGTCAAGTAACCGGATGAGTTCTTTGTCTACCGCATGTAATCTCGACTATGAATCACAACAACTTGTAACAACTGATAGTATCAGCTCAAGAATGCTTCCAGTTATTCGTTCTACGCGGTAGATGTGGCAATTAATTTCAGTAGATTGGCATGCGCGTTCGTGGAATGTGAGGACCTTTTAGATAAAATAATAAAAAAAAAACATTTAGAACTGATATGGGTAAAAAAATTAAAATTAAAGGACAATACAACATCTATATGTCCTAAAGCCAAGGAAATTATATAAAAATATTCTTATCATGGATTCGTTTTTCCTTCGCAATTTGAGTGATCGTGATTAAAATGCTGAGTTTTCGAATTTAAATCTTAAGCGATATTTTTCTTGAATCAACAATTCAGATAAATCGTTCAATGATTGGTGACTCATCGTTTATCAAAGATTGAACTGACTGAGTCATGAAATTCTCATATTTTTATTACGCTCGGATCAATCTTACTTGTTGATGGAGTTGTGGGTCAATGAGTTATTTGACACGAATCGTTTGCAAGTACATTGTTTAATGTTCTATAATTAATCGTTGTATGTATACCCAAAGTTTGACCAGTTGATACCAGAAATTGTTTGTAATTATAAATAGAAACGTGTATAAAAAACCCAGTGGCGCTCTTTCTATTCGTGATCATTAGTTTTTTCCTAATAAGCAAGTAGGTGAGTATGTGATCAGCCTTCTGTGCCTGACATATGCTGTCGACTTTTTGGGTCTAAGGTCTAAGGCATCTTTTCCTTCGCCATACGAGTGTCAGATGCGCTAATGACAGAAAGTTCATTCCAAGTGAACGGCCGGGATTCAAACCTACGACCTCAAGGAGAGTCACACTCTGAAACCACTATGTCAATGCTATTGAACGTATACGTATCACATAACCTGGATCAAGTTATAAAACTCATTTCATAAATCTACCACCTTACACGTTTGGTTAGGAAGTGAGAGGTCAAAAAATTCATGAGAAGTAGCGAGATAGACGTAATTTACGTAATCATTGAGACCTAAATACAAACGGTTTAGCGTGGGTTTACTGATCTCAATAGATTCAATGCCAGCGTCACTATTAAAATCTGAATTCTAAACCATACTAGTTATGTAAAGCTTGTCAAAGTTTTGATAAGTTCTAATGCCCGATTAATTAACGACTGTTCGAGAAAGAATACGCGATTGGGTTTATTAATAATTTAAATCTAACTAAGGTTTTTTAAGTAACCAATCATTATTAATTATCAAATGGCTGATAGTAGGTGGCAAAACATTGCATTAAGCTTATAAAACGTATGAAGTTATATCATGACAAACTTTGTCCCATCGACATGTATGAAACTTAATTTTTACAAAAACTAATGAATACAACTATTCAATTATTAAAAAGTTAAAAACAAGGTAATCAATAAGAGCTGTCGCAAAATCACAACGCGGGAGAGCCAGTTATAAATAACTCCAGTCGTAGCACTTGAGCCATTCATCGAAACCGTGCATTGATTGCATACGATGCTTTGTTTCATTTCATATGAGAAATTGATAACAATTTTACTGTCACACTGAGTGTATCAAAACTTGAAACGGAAATTTGTTACATTATTTACTTAACGTTTCGTTTTCAGTTGTGGTCTGAGAAAAGTGTTATAGGTTCGTCTTGGTCGTTGTAGCTGCTAAATTATATTATTATATATAGATAAAATATAGATTTTTAATAAATTTAATAACTTTATTTAAAACAAAATATAGTTTTGATAAAATTGATAAAACTCTAGTTCTCACAGTAAGGGTGTTAGTCTTATTGATATGATTTGAAATTACTTAAGGCTTAAGTCTTTATTCTTTTCTTTTTTGGGCGTAATGTATAATTTAATATTTGATGCTTACTTTAAATACACAATAAAGCAGACCGTATGTTCAGCTTCAAAATTTATTATTATGATATCGTCACTGTAGAACCTCGTATGTCAAAAAACCATCTACTTTTTATTCTTAGACTCTTATGTCATTTAACTGGTATAATCATGAAGTAAGGACTTATTTATGTTTTTAATAAATAAGTCCTTTTTACTATCTAAAACTATGGACAAAAATACAGAATATATTTTAACGAACATTGACGAAATGTAACATTTTTTTCGTTTCCTGTAATGTTTGGTTCTCTGGACATACGAGGTTATCATTCTACAGCGACGATATGTCATTTAGTTTTTTCATTACTTCTCGGCCAAAGTATATAAATCTAAAATACATATTAGTATTTACAAGATAGCGGTATTATTATGCGGTATTATTATTTGAATATTTTAACGGATACATAACTCAGGCGCCATCCCTAATTGGAAAACAGGACGTAATATTGATAGCACGATGGCAGAATTACGAACATGGTAATATTTGCCTATTGTTTCGAAAGGACTGTACGCCTCCATGTGTATTTTGTATTGATAAGGTTCAAATGACTTTATATAAATAAAATACAAGCAGAGTGCATAGTTGTTCTGTGATCGATATAGTGTGATACTTTTTCCAAGCGAAATGTATAGCCTTGCCTTTGTAAAACAAGCGCAGAAAAGTATTTCTCCCGGGGGAAAAGGGAGGGCCGGAAAAAAAAAAAATTTTATGGTTGATCCTCCCTAAAGTTTATTATATTAAAGAAAAAGTTTTAAGTTTTATTGTACGTAGTAAACAGCATGTTTTTCGAATTATATATTGATACCGCTTATATTTATTATTTAAATAAGATTATTACAGCAACACAGCAAACAGCAGTCAACCTATTACGCCACATATTATGGCCCTCTGTAACTTTCAATAGCAATCCCGATCCCAATAATGAGTTCTTGTTCCTCGCGATCCCAAGGATATTGAGAGAACTACGTCGAACTTGCATACAAAAACGTCGAGAACTATAATGCCGTTATTTGAATATTCATTTAGAATAACCTTAAGCAACTTGCTTCTTTTTTCTACTAAAGTGTGGCCTTGTTTGTGCTACTTCATACATTAATATATTTTTATTAGTTCAGGCAGTCTCGGAATGAACTTTGTAATTTAACAGGTGTATTAATGATGATTAAGTGGTTTGGTCACTGCGGTATTCAATTCGTTGAAAGCGTGTTACATTGTTCGTCAATGCAGCCCTGGTTAAACCAATTAATTAACTGATAAATGTAAAATTGAGTTCAATCGCAATATAATTTGCTTATTTAAAAATATGGATATGTGTTATATTTTGTGTCCAAAGCGAGACTGTGCAACTGTCCGTGTAGTTTTTGAAGCCATAACTAAATTCTAATATATAATATATCTAGTAGACTCGTCCAAGCGTTGCTGTGGCTAAGATTTTTGTTATATTACATAGTAGTAAACTATTCAAGAGAAACGGCAGGAGAACACCAATCCACCATACTTTTTTGGTGTTATGACATTGTAGCTTATGTGAAACGTTGGTATTTTCAACACAGCGCCATCTGTTAGAATTGTGACTATCAATAATTAATAATAAACAAATATTTTGCAATAAAATAATATTGCGGGTATAAATTGAGATGTAAGCTATCCTATCTTTTAAGTTGGATCAAACTACACACTGTGCAAATTTTATTGATATCGGTTCGGTAGTTTAGGAGTCCATAGCGGACAAACAACGTGACACGTAATTTATATATATTAAGATATATGTATTTAAATTAACATTATTATACAAAATGAAATTTTTGGCTAGACGTCACTTATGTAGATGTTGGCTAGACATTTTATTACACAAATGATGTATCAGCCAATAAATAATCATAAAGTCTCAAAGACAGGGGAGACGCATTAAAATCTAAAGAGCAGAGGACGCCTAAAGCATATTTATTACAGCTCGTATCTCTACAATTTATGTGTTAACTTGAATAATAACCTCAATCCTTGAGGCTAGAACGTGCTCGAGCGTTCTTTTTTTATGGGTCAAAAAAGGTTTTGGCATATACATACAGTAGGCTCACGTATTGTGACGATTTAAATATATAGCCTCTTTTGTAGGGCATGCACAGGTAAATATATAAATTAGTTAATAAGAAAGAGTAAGAGACTTAGCGTGTGACACCCAAATGGCAAATTTATTTTAAGACATTTAACGTTTAGGTTTTTGACATACCTCCCGTATGTATAATAATAATATTTAGTAAGTCGATTCTGGATTTGACCTAAATTCTTTGGTAACGGTAACTATTTTTTTTATACAACGAAGGTAATAAACAATAACTAGTTTTTGCGGCTTCAAGAATTTTGTAGGTAAATTTTTCTGGTAGAAATGGACATAAAACTTCCTAATTGCAAGCAAAACCCTTCTATTGTAGGTTTTATGATAAAATGATAAATATACTTCTAAATGAGCATCGTTATTGACTTTTCATACTCAATTACGAGAATAAGCGTCCAAGGCTTTTAATGCGCATTTCAGTAAGACCCTTTGTTGACAGTAACAAGTTCTTATTAAAATTTATCTTAGCAAAGCTATCATCTTTAAAATCTTGAATCCTTGAATTTACAGAATTAACAAGATATTCAATCCTTATAAATATGACCTCAGCCTTTGAATAATAAGATTTTTTATTTTTATTTTGTATATGAATGTTCAAGGGTATTAGTTTAATAACGAGTAGACTTGACTCGTATAGGTTGTGTATTCAAGAATTACTTATAAAAGTCAGTGGCGCTACAACCTTTTAGATCTGCGCCTCAGATTTCTATATATGTATATACTAGCTGCCACCGCGAACTTCGTTTCTTCTTAATGTGATTTTACTTAGCCTACCTTTTCAGTACATACCAACATGTTCCCACTGTACGTATGTAAGGTACATACCAACATGGAACATTTTGCTATACTACCCCAGAGACTGATCGGTTTTCCGGAATGAAATATTTTAAGGTTTTCTGTGATTTTTTCTCTATATACCTACCTCAGAGTTCAATTCATAAGTTTTTGATTAACAAATTAAAAATAGGGGTTGATCGTAAAGGGGTGAAAATTAAGGGTTGTACGTATTTTTGTATCCTGTTTCAAAAACTCGAAACTGTCGACTTTTTGGGTCTTATGCATTCCGGTTTCCTCATGGTGTTTTCCTTCCCCGTACGAGAGAGTTTTAAATGCGCACATAGAAATTCCATTGCTGCACAGCCGGGGATCCAACCTACAATCTCAAGGATGAGAGTCGCACGCGAATACCACTAAGCAAAGACTGTTGTTTATTTTTATATTCTAGTGAAAATATAACCACCCAAGATATGTTCTGACAAATAATGTATACAATTTTTACCCATTACTACCAAAAATAAAAGAATGAAATGACAGTAGTGATGACCCCGGTAAATTAATTTAGGTTTCTTTACCAGGGCATCACTTTTGTTGTAGTAAGGTTGTAAAAACCTAATTAGTTACCTTTTTATATCCGGGCTGGAAATGCATTAAGGATTGTCAAAGCTCTGTTACTGTCAGGTAACTGGATCATTAAACCAACTTCGGGAATTACTTGCTTTTGCGTTTATTTCTAGTGACTTTGCGGAAAGAGAACTGTCGTAGGATTTGAGGTCGCTGTCGTGTTAAAATACCTTTTTCTGTTTTGTTAGATTGACTTGTACGAGCCGAGGCTGTACATTTTGCTCACTCTGGCTTTCTTAGTTTTATAAGCGTGGCGATTTCCTAAATCATGGGAGTTACGCCCCGAGAGTGTAGCCAGACGCAGGCACTTTGCATTTATTCTTTACATAGCAATTAACATTTCATTATTTCGCTTATATTCTATTGTTCTACGCGAGTGGTTACTATAGAGTTAAACTAAATTCCTCTATTATTTAAAGCACCCCGATGACCCTTGATGATATTTTTAATATAATTCTTGTCCATAAATGAAATTACGCGTATAAGAGAAATTACGCGAGAAATACATTAGTGTGCACGATTATGCCGATTTACTTTCTTCTCAAAGTTTAAAATTTGTTGATAATAAACGAATTTTCTTTTGTCCACAGTGCCGTCGGTAAAACATGTCTCCTCATCAGTTATACAACGAATGCCTTCCCAGGAGAATACATACCTACAGTGTAAGTAATTATATTATTAAATTTAGTAAGCATATTATTAGCACGAAAGTTGACGCCTTTATGAAACAATATTAGTTTCGGATAAGTACAGAATGGATCTCCTTTTCTTGATAACGCAGAAGTGTCGGCCCCATAGGAAGTATTTCATACAATGAACAGACTAGTATAAAGCAGTGTTGTAATAAATATATAAAACATAAATCAGTGGGGCTACCTTTGAGGTCTGGGCCTCAGCGTTCTGTATCTGTTTCATGATCATTTGTCAATCTGATAGGTAAGTAGATGATCAGCCTCCTGTGCCTGACACACACCGTCGACTTTTTTGGGTCTAAGGCAAGCCGGTTTTCCTTCACCGTTTGAGCGAATATTAATACGCACTTAGAAATAAAGTCCATCGCACGCTTAAGGCACTACTGCTGTCAATAAATATATGTATTAAAGTTAATATAAATTGAGCGTTCCTACATTAATACAGTATGCATGTCACCAAGTCTCGTGCTCTGTATGAATTGGTATGTTCGTAAACAATATTACGTAACCCGCACTTTGAGGATATTATTATAATTTTCGAATGGAGAAAACTTCAAAATTAAATTATTTGTGTTGGACTATAAACAGGTGATATATAATCTTATCTTCATATTTTGTCGGAAATAATATTTTATTGTCCTCTGCCGACTCCACCTCTAAAGATTAATGTTATAAACGAAAAATGCATCATATTGTTTGTCGTTTTGGAATAATAAAATTTAGCTTATACTATTTTTGCTGCGATCGTTTCTGACCTTCATGATAGTTACGAACTATATTAACTGGTCCTGGATTAGGCGCTTTTAGTCGCAGATTTATTATCTCTACAACGCGTCGTAGGGCGTGAGTATAACCTATTATTACGTATGAAAATATGTTAATGTACTTAAGCAATGTACGACGAAAATCGATTAACAAGATATAATTTCTAGAGCGCTTTCATCCCACACATTTCGTGTGAATTTCAATTGTGTTGACTTATACCGGTTCGGAGATAATAGGTTTAATTATGTAACAGTTTCAGTATGGCCGACGCTGCAATTAACATACAAGTCGTTAAATGTTTAATTTGAAGATAAAAACAGTGCAAAATTTCACAAATACAATTATTTCGACTCAAATTTGTAATACTCAGGTCTTTTGCTCTTCAGAATTGATACACACAAAGTGTGAATATAAAATGTACGAGAAAATATTTTCAAATGTAATTTCGGTGCTTTTTTTTATTATAATAAATATCGTCTTCAAATCCTTTAAGAGGTTTTTATAGGAAATTAGGAAATTACAAAATAGGTTTTATAGTACGGGGTTGGTTTCCATGATAGCGATTCCTTTTTACGGAAAATAACGTCGGCACACTTATTAAAAACTTAAATCAACAATTGATAATGAGAATCCATAAGTTCACGCACGTTTTGGTCAAGTAACACCTGTTTACCCGACGTATAGAATATCCAGTGACTTCTGCAATTGAGAATATAGTTATTAAAACATCATTAAGCAATAAAACAGATGTCGAATACTGAGAAATAAGCCACCTGCCACTAAGAAAAGTTAGTCATGCTCTTTGCATGGTTTGTAATTTAAGCTGACGAGCACTTTAAATGTTTCAATAAAGAATTTCGCAAGAATGTAGCTGCGATAAAAATGTCTTGGGAATGATCTTTGAATCACTTAAGGAGCTTTTCTATTATACAATGCGGTTTACCCATATTAGTAAATGTTGAGCGTGGAAAAATCGCGCTGAGCTGGACAAACCCAGTCTTTTCAGAAACCACAGTGTTGGTTCACAGAGCTTCTAATTTGCATTTTTATTATGTAAACCCTTAATATATAAAAAAAAATCTGTGGCGCTACAACCTCTTTAGGTCTGGCCTCAGATTTCTGAATCATTCATGATAATTTTTAAATCTAATAGGCAAGTAGGTCATCAGTGCCTGCCACACGCCGTCGACTTTTTTGGGTCTAAGACATGTCGGTTTCCTAACGATGTTTTCCTTTACCGTTCGAGCAAATGTTAAATGCGCATATAGAAAGAAAGTCCATTGGTGCACAGCCGGGGATCGAACTCACGACCTCAGGTATGAGAGTCGCACGCTGAAGCCACTAGGCCAACAGTGCTGCAAATAAAACTAAACTAGGTCAAAATCTAAATCGTTAAATGAAGCGATAGACGCGTTAAACTAATAACTACCCTCTTTATTCCGCGAGCTTAAATACGATATCAATGCGCATTCATATATTTATAATGTGCCAGTTTCATTAATGTCAACTATGAAATCAACATATTAATGATAGTGATTTTGCATGCCTCCTTGGCCTAGTGGCGGTAGATACAATTACACTGATAGGATTAGTGCTAAGTATGGGTTGTGAAAGTAATTATATTTAGCGTATTAATGTCGAAGAAATTGTAGGTAGATGGAATATTTCGTATGTGTGCAATAGATGTAAGCTAAAATATGTTTGATGAATATAATGCGATTGACAGATATTCAGAATTCTAAAGATTTATTTTTATTTTTTTTATTTATTTTTATTTAAGGTACAGAAACAGATATCAGATTGGTTAAATACATACAGTTATTACACACTAAACATTATTTGTAACCTGAAGTCCACTTAGATCTGTACACAGCATTTTAGTGAAATCTTCAGTGCTGGTTTACCAAACTACTAACAATTACATAAAGTATATAATATGTACATATTATATTAAACTTAATGACAAAAAAAAATAAATTCAATGCCAAAAAAAAAAATTAAGTTATTCTGGTTGCAAGTCTGCACCGCGAATAATCTTTCTAAATTCATAACTACTATTGTGAAAAATATCAACATGAGAACACACAGAATTATAATACTTGCACATTCTAGCGAGCGGACCATTCTGGGATTCATCGTTGTTACTTGTGGGTATCATAAATAGTTGTGGTTAGAAGAACGCACGAACGCACGTACCTTGATGTCAAGTTTATCCAATAGATAGCTGTCAAGGGAGCCATTTGCTATTTTATGTAAAGTGCACAGGTCGCTCATCCATCTTCTCTTTTCAAGACTTACCATCTGAAAGTGGGCAAGACGCTGGTCATATTGCTTTAATTTGCGCCTAAGACCATACTTTGAGCATAAAGCTCTAACAAACCGCCTTTGTATAGATTCTAATCTATCTGTATGAATTTTGTATATCGGGGGGGCCCATACAGCTAAACAGTAAAGGACAACATCCGATTAGCTCTACTACACCTATGATCATAATGAGGTCTAAATGACATAACAGAGTCAAATATTACTCCCAAGTCTCGAATCACCTCAACTCTATCCATAAGAATACCCTTAACATTATAGTTATACTGGATAGGGTTCCTACTTTTTGTAAATGTTATAACCTGGCACTTCTTAATATTCAGAGCCATAGAATTTTCATCGCACCAAGCAGATATAGTATTAATATCCGATTGAAGGGTCACACAATCTCTTTCATCAGATATACGTCTGAAGATGTCCGGGGTTAAGTTTTAAAACAACATAACAATGGCGCTACAACCTTTTAGGTCTGGGCCTCAGATTTCTGTATCGGTTCCGTGATCATTTCTAATTGGCGAGTAGGTGACCAGCCTTCTGTGCCACACGTCGACTTTTTGGGTTTAAGACATGCCGGTTTCTTCACTATTCCTTCACCGTACGAGCGAGTGTTAAATGCGCACATAGACAAAACTTTCATTGGTGCACAGTCGGGGATGGAACCTACGACTCAAGGCATGAGAGTCTCACTTTGAAACCACTTGTCCAACACTGCTCTAAATCAACATACATGCTTAAAAATGCATGTAAATACAATAAATATCAATAAAAAATAAAATGTTCTACGTATATGGTGGTCGCACAAGGACGTTTCCAGAATCACGTCCAAACTTTCTTTACAATTCTAGCATTAAATTGTCAAGTCTCTGACTCCGACAACTTAGTTGCGGTGATCTTATAGTTTCTTATCTGACTAAGACTTTAACATTGCAGGTTCGACAACTATTCGGCGAATGTGATGGTGGACGGGAAGCCAATCAACCTGGGTCTCTGGGATACGGCTGGACAGGAGGACTACGATAGGCTGCGACCACTCTCCTACCCGCAGACGGATGTCTTTTTAATATGCTTCTCGCTTGTCAACCCTGCCTCCTTCGAAAACGTCCGCGCTAAGGTAATTCATGTCAAAATTTTGTTATAAATAGTACATATGTAAAGTCATACAGCGCCAGTTGAATTGGCTGTTGAATAACAATTTTTAAACCAATTTGATTACTTAAACGTATTTAAGCTATAACGAAGTCAAAATAGAGCCTCTATTTTGACATAAATTAAGAAGCGAAAATGCGGTCAAATCAATCAAGCTCATAACGACGATTCATTAAGATTATCTAAGATTTGTGGTCACTAAAATAAACACTAGGGTGATTTATCCATATAAAATAATAATGTTTATATATATATATCGATTTCAGTGGTACCCTGAAGTGAGGCATCACTGTCCGTCGACCCCCATCATCCTTGTGGGAACTAAGCTCGATCTCCGTGAAGACAAGGACACCATTGAGAAGTTGAAGGACAAGAAACTTGCTCCCATCACCTGGTCACAGGTAAATAATTATTCAGGGGGGGGGGGGGGGGGGGGGGGGGCCCCCCCCCCCCCGGGGGGGGGGGGGGGGAATCACCCCCCCCCCCCCCCCCCCCCCCCCCCAAAAAAAAAAAAAAAAAAGGGGGGAAAAAAAAAAAAGGGGGGGGGGGGAAAAAAAAAAAAAAAGGGGTTGTTTTTTTTTAAAAAAAAAAAAAAAAAAAAGGGGGGGGGGGGGGGGGGGGGGGGGGGGGGGGGGGGGGGGGGGGGGGGGGGGGGGGGGGGGCCGCCCCCTCCCTTTTTTTTAAAAAAAAAAAAAAAAGGGGGGGGGGGGGGGGGGCCCCCCCCCCCCCCCCAAAAAAAAAAAAAGGTTTTTTTCCCCCCCCCCCCCCAAAAACCCCCCCGAAATTTTTGGGGCCCCCTATAGAATGGAAATATAAAATCACTTTGCTCTATTGTCAATAGTTTTTGCGATCTAGTAATTTTTGCTAGATATTTTTTCACACCTTGGGTGAAAAAATAAACACCATCGTTATTTCATACTAGCATTTTTTGAAAATATTCTATAGACTATTATTAAGGATAGAGTAGGGTTCTAATGGTGAAATAATGTTTCAAGTTAGTCCTGTAGTTTTAATCTTAATTCCATTAAAAATGAAAAGTATTTTATGATTTAACATCAGTCGATTACGTATCAATAATGTCGTGTATATCTGTTTGAACAGAATTCCAAATTATACTGTTATTTTCTTATTTTATTTTTTATTGTGACTTATAAAAATACTAAATACTGTTTTATTGAACGCTTAGCTTAGTAAATAGTTTGTTTTTAGCACGACATTGTAAGAAATAACTCGTCCTATCTCTTAGATTGACCAGTATAATTATTATCTTCCTCTGAATTTTCTCTTATTTGGGTTGCCTTGATCTTTTGTCAGCGATAAGGCAACGGTATTTTCCTAAAAATATGCCTTTACGTACTCGATGTAATATTGGAAGCACTAACATTGCGATTTGTGTGTTTCTGATTCCATTTTTAGTTCCAAGTAAGCTCACGGTGCACTGCTCAAGTTTACGACACAAGAATGTAAACAATTTATTATACATGCAAATAGTGCAGAAGTTTCAGTCTCGAACTTTAGCAGTGTTAGGGGATGGACTACTAAAGCTGTATGATTAATGAAATTTGTTCTTTATGACCTATCTGATAAAGTTGGATATACCTTGCTGATTCATGTTAGACCATGAGTAAATTGCAAATAATAACCTTCATTAGGATGATATGTTGGTTTAATTCTATTAAAATCAGGAAGAAATATGTTTAAGCAATTTATTATTTTACCAGGGCCTAAGCATGTCCAAGGAGATTGGTGCAGTGAAGTACCTAGAGTGTTCGGCGCTGACGCAAAAGGGCTTGAAGACTGTATTTGATGAGGCGATACGAGCGGTACTCTGTCCCGTACAACCGCCGAAGAAGAAAAAGCCAACCTGTAATATCCTATAAAGAGCGAGGTATTGGTTTTCATGATTTTCATACTTTGGGGCCGTTCAAGTATTAAGTAAGCAGACTTACTGCAATTTATCCCCACCTCCTCCTCTTGTCAGCAAAATTAAGCAAACCTCTCAGAAATAATAGTACCTAAACGTATTGATTATTTGTAGGAAAACTTGAAAATTCATTTCGTTTTTAAGCATAGACAATGTGTGGGTAGTATGTGTAAAAAGTAAATAATTACTCTTGACGTAATCACCAATATGAAAATCAAAGACCTTATAGTGCTTACGTAATACTTGAAGGGCCCCTTTGTTGTTATTTTTATATCACTGAGTGAGTGTTGAGCAGTGTTAGACTAGTGGTCCGTGTTCTAGAACGTCAAATAAACTTAAATCTGGCTGTCGAACCATTATTTCTTTTTGAAGGGATATTTGACAGCACTTAAGACGAAATTGTGACTTGAGATACAAATAAGAGTATGGACCTAAGTGTGTTTCTCCCAACCCTGAGGTTGTAGTTTCTGTGCGGCTTTGCACCAATGGATTTTTCTTTGTGTTTTTATTTTATTTAACAATCGGTCGTATGGTGAAGGAAAATATCACTAGGAAACGGCGTGTGTCAAGCACAGAAGGCTGAACTTCTAAGAAACACAAAATCTAATACTCTGTATGGTCATATTTTATCATTGGTGAAGATTATATTCAATATTTCTGTTAAACTGAGATAATTACAAGTGTTTGATAAAATTATTTAAGGATTTTAGTTTCGAAGACACAAGAATATTCTACGTGAGGAAAATGACCTTGTAAATTTTAAAAGATAAAAATAGGGGTTGCTGGATTACTTAGAATAGAAAATAAAGACACCTTTGCTTAGTTTCAGATAGCATAGACCAGCAGAGACTAGACACATCAGCACATGGATGAATGGTCTGCAAATGCATTGATAGATGTTAATCCTCTAATGTTAATATAATCATTAATGTAACGTGGTGTGAGTGAGGTCCGTTTTACCGCTTTTGTATAATCTGTGGAATGACATTGACAGTCGGCTATGGTAAAATATGGCAGTGGTTTTATACAGTTTCAAATATTTTGGGTGCTTTCTCTGACACTAAAATAGAATAAATACATTCCTACATTTAATTAAATGCTATTTAATGCCCACCATTTGTTTTCATCTCACATTTTGGATATTTTCTCGTGAATCAGTTATTACGTGGAATTGTTGAAATTTATGTTAGGCAGAGATTATATTTTTCGATTATTGCTTATTTTGTTTTCAATTGTTGTATTTCATATTCGATAAGTACATATTCAGTATTCGCTAAGAATTTATATTCGTATGATGTAAGATAAACTATCTTTAACGTCGGCAAATTCAATATCAAAATGGAGCCATAAAGGTACAAATGTTCGGACATCGTTTAATGTTGTGAAACTTTGAGGCACCCGTTTGCGGGCTTAAGTACATATCGGAAAGCTAAGCTTAAGCAATAAGCCGATACTATGATATCTTCACTAATACCAACCTTATAAAGGTGTAAAATATTAATCTGAAATTAATAAAATGCCAAGCAGTAAGTTCATAAAATGACATAGATTCTTATATAGTAGTGCACAAAAATTTGTCCCGTACTTCGTAAATTCCCGTCTTATACATATTGCTAAATTAATTTAAGAATACAGTACAATTTTAAATCAGCTATCGTATAGTGGAGATATCATATTACTATTGCATTACACCGCACAATTTATGTATAGCATTGTCCGGCCGAATTCAAATAGGCGTCTTCGGTCGTTAGGTTAGTATGGGGAGATAATTCGCTATATGATACCGGGTTTAGGCTTTAATTGACTCGATTCGATGGCCTCTAGCTGTTTTATATCTATGTACCGATTATGGTTACGTTAATTACTGTCTAAATCCACTCCTAAGGTATAATTAAGTAGATGTAACGAATACGACGCGTCTTAAGTGTGTGCAATTGTTACTGCTTGACGTTTCGATTCTTTCATTCTGACGTTTCGATGCCATCAATTGTTGTTATTAAATTTTTGAAAATAGAACTAGTTGCTTGGTGCGTCTTAAGAGACAATATTTTGTAGTCTGTGAAACATAAATTTAATGTCGTAGTCACACAAATACAGTTGGTATCCCGAACAACTTAAAGAACGAAAATAAAATAGAAATAAGGCCCTAATTTGATTTAAAGTTAAAGTAAGTTTTTCTGCTAGGGTTGTCGTTGATAGCATAACTTCCGTAAATTGCCGAAAAGCTAGCGAAATATTGTCTCAGAAGCACTTTTACTTTAAAGCATCAACAATTGCACAAAATATTAAATAGTTATTAGAAATAAGGTTTTAATGTATTGTTCAGATGCAAATATTTAGAAGAATCAGCATGTAAATACATTTAGTGTAAGTAATTTCGAACGCACCATTCACATTGGTGTTGCATTTTTATAAGTGAATTATTTCATAATGGGCTTGTACACATATTAGTTAAAATGTAATCATTACTAAAATACTTGTATTAGTTGATAATTAATTGTCAAAGCTGTTATATTTTCACTCGTTTGTTATCAAATTATATATATCATTAAATAATTTCAATCATATAATTGTTTTAATAATGTAATCCACACTTAGTATTGCTATTTTAGTCTAAATTTATACATTTTGTAATCTGTGTATAATTGGTGTTAGGTCATAAATTTGTTAACACCTTAACGTCGTACTTTTTATTGTATGATTTCACGAAATGTCTCAAGAAATATTAACAACAGATAATATTATCAGCATAAGTATGATAAGAAATCAAACTTCTATATTATTTGATTAAATAATATAATAAACAGTGACAGTTTCAAAACAGTATCCCATAAAGTCATAGACAATCAAAATGGTTGATAAGTAGTCTATGCGCAACCTAAAGAATAATGAAAGAGTACAATAAAAATGTATGATTGGTAAGAAATATTTGTTACTAATAATTGTGTATTCGATAAATGTCCCGCTTTTAGTACAGCTTGTATATTATTTTTATACAAATGTAAGTAACGCTGATCGCAATGTCGAGTATCTCTTCCAAATATTGTGAAGCCTCTGAATAATTCAAAATATATTTATATTAACTGTTCAAATGTGTGTTTTATTTATTTTTAATGACCTTTACGAAATGCTTTATGTTGTTTAATTAAACGTGTTAAACGGGTTTAATACTGAACCAGTATCAATAATCAAAATGTTTCATAATATAAAATATAAAGAAAATTTTATACATTTTGTTAAAATAATAGATTTAAAAATGCGGTTTTTTTAAAAAAAAAAAAAATAAACAATACTTCTATTTCTCATTTTTTTGTTTTTCTTGTTCAATTATTTCTTAATTTGATTATACTGTTTAATAATATGAGTTATGATATGTTTGCTGATAAATAATTTATATATACAAAAGATATTATTAAAGAGATAACCTATCGATTATCTACTTATGTTAGCATGGAAACAAAAGCATGATATCGATCAATTAATACCGTTGTATGGTTATGATATTTCGCATGATTGGGGAAAACACAATTCTGTGTCTGTTTAATTGATAATTTTTTTTATTTACAACAATTATACAATAATAAATATGCATGAAGTTAACCTTGGTAGCGTTTTGGGTTTTAAAAAGATAATTTTTTGGTTAAAATATATTCAAACAACAAAAACTTATGACCATTTTTATTCGTTAAACTTACTAAAAAAAGAATTAATTTTAAGTTGTTTTCCTAATTAGTGTGGAAACTTCCACCACAACAAAAATTTGGGCAAGTTAAGTGCCGAGATAATTTAAATTCGCTTATGTACTTTAATAAAAATTAATACTGGGTAATTCATTTGTCAGGCTACATATACTAATAACTACTCTAAAAACTAAAATTAAAACAGTCTTTTACAGTACTTTAAGTACCAAATTTATTGTTTGTGACAAAATGCTACACCAGCGATACCAATTGTTAATACATATTTATGAAACCACCTATCTTGACTGTTTCGCTTTAAGTACCTAGAAATTTGAATAATTTGTCACTTTGGTGACATTGTTTTTTATTAGTATTTTAAGTTTTTATTTTCTATTGAAGTTATAATTTAATATTATGAGACCGAAGCCGCAATGTAATTCTATTTTATATAATAGAACAAAAATATCAATTTCTAGTTGATACAATCGAATTACCACTAACTCAGCGATGTATTTGTATTCATTACGACACCGAAGATAAACACAAGAAACTGCGTTGAACAAAACTTGTTCAGTCGTATGTGACGCACTGCCAGGGAGCAGTCCACTGCGTCGCAAAAAATTACGTTTATACAAAAATAATTGTTTTCTCCACCAATTAAGGGCGAAAATGGCGAAACTATTAAGTCAAGAGTTACCAGATATCGAGGTAAGAGATTGTGTATCGGACATGTCAATAGCGATTTCAAGGTTTTTAAAAGTATTTGTATCGAGTCGAGTTCAGTCGTAGTTGGCTTATCATAAATCAGTTTATGACGTATCTTTGTTTTAGCTAAAACTTAATCAAAATATAAAAAGAAAAGAAAAATTGTAAATACTGTATATTTGATTACCTACTAATAAACGTAATTATATTAAAATTTTATTTTATTTTAGCCTTACAAACCATTGGCTTCAAATTACGCAGCATGCACATTTCACCTATAAATGATTCACTACATGCTTTAGTAAAACTGCTTGGACCTAATTAAATTTCAATTAAGTAACTTTATACTTGTTAGAACATTAATCTGATTGCTTTATTTTATTAGCAATATCCTTAGCCATTCACTACCCTCACAAAAGCAAATACCTTATGCAACTATATGATAAGAGTTGATAAATAACGACTAGATTCAATATCAAATAAATATTTTATTCATACTCTATTATTGTTATTTATTAACCATGTGTTTTATAAAAAGCTGAATATAATATTATGTGGTCCCTTACCACATAAGTAGATAAATAAGTAAATATAATACTCAAATTTTCAGAATTTACTCAAATTAAATCCAAAAGTCAAGCCTTTTAGCAACTTGGTACCATCGGCGCAGACGAAGAAAAATAAACAGCATTGGAAGCGTAATACGGACAGAAAATGCACTGTAAGTTAATTAAATTTCTCTTTTTAACAGACTTAAAATTCGAAGTCGGAGTTTTACAATTCGAAGCGTTACAATTTATAATACAATATTTAATTACAAATTTCTCATAAACTTTGATTTTCTTTTTGGTTTCTCTAGTTAAAGCTGTATATAACATACGGTGCCGGATTAAGCCAGCGCGGGGCCTGTAGCAAATTCTGCCTAGGGGCCCTTGGTTTGCTTTTGAGGTTTTCAAGTTAAGGGTATTAAATAAAACAAAACAGTTTCAAATAAACTTTTCTGGGTTAAATATATGGCAAATTTAGAGATAACACTATCAATATCGACTTCTTTAAGCAAATCATGCTCTATATTGAACAAAGTGAGATACGAGAAATTAAGACGTTCTTGGCCCATAGTGTTCCTTAATTCATTTTTAATACCATTTAATATTGAAAAACGTTCGCTACTGCAATTAGTGATCATGAGAGACAAGTTAATGCGTAAGGCAATATCTAAGTTTGGGAAACACGATTCATTTCATAAAAGTTTATAAAATTGCTGCTCCAGAGGTTCCTGTTTCTTGATGTCAATAACAGTAGCCACATCTGTTTTCAGTAACTCTACAAACTGCTCTAATTCGCCACCTAGTCTGTTGTCCGAATCATCTTCGTAAGCGCTGACCTTACTTGATTTTTTGAATTTTCCAAAATCTGTTGTAAGAGATTTTAGCTATCAAAATACTTCAAAAACACTAAATCTTATGAAGATGCGTATGATAAAGGGCTACGGGATATGCCCTTTATCATACGCATCATTAAGGTCTTGATCAGACGACTGCAGCGAAGCACTAGTCGCTTGCAAGCGTTCTAGGATTCCGTTCCACGTAATTGTCATTATTCCTGTTTTTAACTTATTCATCGTTGAAACTAGTCCGTAAGCTTACGGCACTCCGCTATTTGATCAACTTTATTGAAAATGTCTTCTAAAACTTGTTTAATAGTGATAAAACCGCATAAAAGTGCCTTCGTAGCATCGGCTTGGGCTTACCATCTCGTGTCTAAAGCAGGGTCCACACTATGCCGCGGTAGGGCGGGCGGGTTGACCCGGGTGGGCTAAGCCGGGCGGGTACGTTCGGGCCGGCACGACGTCCACACTGAAAACGAAGCCAACCGGGCTATTTCTACCTACATTATTTAGTTTCAACACCAAGACTGGTGATTTAGTTGAAGAGTACTTAAAATGAACAATAAAAAACCCTACTTAAACAAACTGAATCGAAAATAAAATAATTCGTCTACTTCGGTCGGAGGTTTAATTGTAACTGAAGCCGCTCGGGGCGCTCGGCACGTCCCCATTCTATATTTTTGTTCGGCTCGGCTCGGCTTCCTTTGATATGTACCTACTTTATGCGGGTTGGGATCGGCACGGCCCGGGCCGGCATTTTCTTTAACCCGGCAAAGCCGGGCGTCTACATCAACGCGGCTTAGGCCGCCCGGGTCAGGCCCGCCCGGCCTACCCCGGCATAGTGTGGACCCTGCTTAAGGCGACCCCATCGATAAGTAGAAGCCTTAATTTGCATGATTGTTAATAAAGGAAATATATGTTGATATTAATTCTAACAAGCCTAAATAATATCCAGTGAGGTAAATAATTTCCATTGTGAGGTGAACCAACAATTTCGGCATTACCCCAAAACCCAAGATCTCTTTCTGCTTGAAACTCGATAACTGAAATGATTCGTTTAAAGAGTAGCCTCCAATACTTTTGCTCAATCTCAATTTGGCTCACTAGTTGGCAATCAGCACGCCTTATATAGTTTCTGAGGTTTAACAGCGAAATTATGACATTTACATCAAGTAATAATATGCCATCGACTACTTTTTGGTTAGAACACAATGACTCTAGATCAAGAGGGCTGGCTTGTGCGTGCTTTTAACTTCTCTTTGGCTAAAACATGATGTAGCTAAATTAGGAGGAATTTGTGTCTCTTCAACCACATCATGACTTACAGAAAATGTAGCTTGTCAGAAACGGTAGTATTACTACTATCGTATGTACAAGAGGTGCAATTTCTGATTTACTTTCTGTAGATTCAGCAACAGCAATATCACTCTGAACATTAAAATACTCGATCAGTTACGTTTTTTGAAGAACAGCTTGTTCTATACCGTAAACATATTCGAGAAAATTGCATGCACATATGTTTCATTATTTCATTAGAAAAAATTATTTTATGTGTTGTAAACACAATTTTTAAATATATAGCTTTTTGTTTTGTCATTTGTCATTTTTAAATTACCCGCCTTTTTACTTGAAACTCTAAAACACCTCTTCGCTCTTCGCTTCGCTCTTTATCTGGTCACTAGCTTTTAATAATCTCGAAACAAAAAAAGGTCAGCTGTATTCACTCATAAAATGAATCTATTTTTATAATAAATCAACCAACCACAGTGGAGATTTAAATAGTTCACCTATTTCCTTGAAATACTTACAATCGATATTATATTAAAATCGATTAGAAATAGTCAACTCGGTACGTAAACTCGCAAAATAAATGTATACCTATATAAAATAAAAAATCAGAAGGGTACTAATAACATGCTAGTCTGAATATTATATAGATTATAATTAAAATTTGAAAATTAACGTTAAAAAGTTAAATACGTACCTACTTATTTTTACGATTAAACTTGTCGAAGTCGGGTATATTTTTATGTGGAAGTGAAGCATAGACTAAGCGCTTCGCGTTAAAGGTATGCAAGATATTTTACGCTCCTATCTAAATTAATACTTTTTTATTACGGTCAGACAGGCGTTGAGCGCGGGGCCCCTAATTGGGGGGTAGCATTTGCTACTCTTTGCTACGTGGCTAATCCGGCACTGATAACATACTACCTGACTACTACTACAGAACTGATTTCGTGTGTTATATCGTCGTACATCGTACATCTATTATATAAAAGTAGAAATTAAAATTTAATCTTCACGAGACGCGTCTATCTCAGATTATATTTTAGAAAATATGTTTCTGCCCAGTAGTTATGCTCCGCTACGAGTATAAACATAAGTTTTACAATGAGGCGACTACTCCAGAACCCGCACGCAGCACAGCCATATTAGACGACCGCGCGGTGAAAATCTAGTCACTTTTTCTATTCCATTTATTTACAGACTTGTCCCTCACTGAAGAACAATTTCGACGACATCAAACATACTACTCTATCCGAGCGTGGCGCCCTCAAGGAAGCTGCTAGGTGCCTTAAATGTGCCGATGCGCCTTGCCAGAAGTCCTGCCCAACCCAAATAGACGTCAAGAGTTTTATCACCAGCATTTCTAATCGAGTGAGCTAAACGAAGTTGTTATTATTAAAAATGAATCTTTAGCTTCCTTTGCCTTATACTCCTCGTATGCGAAATGTGTTGCAATGACACGTATGTACATATCCTGCTGATAGAGAACAAATCTTAATTTATTTTATTATTATTAATTACTTAAGATCTCATGTGGAACATCGTGTAATGGTTGCAGCTCCTTACAAACATTGTATAAAACAAAAAACTTGGCATTAAAAAGAGTGGCGGAGAGTTCGGCCTCTTCCCCCGTTTTTGGAAAGGGGGAAAAAAAGAAGCATTTAATAAAAAAAATTTGACGTTCATAAGTGTACATTGTGTTACCAATATGAACAAATGATTTTGATTTTTTTTGATAACCACCACATACAAGTCTAATACATACTTTTTAACGCATCCACGGATTTCCTATATTTCATAAGAGTTTTGATTGCGTAAGTCCTAGTATACAATTCTTCAAAAATTACAGTGTATAATATTTATGTAAAATAAGACCCTTAAGATAAGTGAATACATGTAAAAATAGGAAACTTATGTAGATCATCATTGTTCGTATGTATAACTACTACAAAACAATCTACTTTTATTTCCAGAACTATTATGGAGCAGCTAAAGCAATATTATCAGACAACCCTCTTGGACTTACATGTGGTATGGTGTGTCCAACAAGTGACCTATGTGTGGGAGGGTGTAACCTTCACGCAAGCGAGGAAGGCGCTATTAACATCGGTGGATTGCAGCATTTCGCTGTTGATGTATGTATTATTATAGAATATATATGGGTCAAACAAGCAGTCTCAAGTTATCTTATTTCACTATATGAAAGTATCATTCCGTCATCAATGATCATTAAAGAGATAATAGATACTTATAACAATTTACGGTTTACGTAAAAAAATTATCATTTACGCATATTGTATTTAATAATCATCAAATGATTTATATCGGAAAATTCTAAGTTCGTAACAAGAACGGACTCAAGTATTGATTATTGTACAGATTTTTATGAAGATGGGTATCCAACAAACTCTGGACCCCGATACGAAGCCGTTACCGAAGGGTGGTGATCAAAAAATTGCTCTCATTGGCGGAGGCCCTGCGAGTATTAGTTGTGCCTGCTTCTTGGCTAGACTTGGGTACAAGAACCTTACTGTTTACGAGAAGCAACAGTACCTCGGAGGTCTCAGGTAATCCATAGAAACTGTGTTATTAAATTATATGCCTTCTGTCATATTAAGAGAGTCAAAAGTAAATTGAATAATAATATGTTTTTAATCGCTGAAAAAAACATAAGTGTTATCACACTTTAATCAAAGTCAATAACAAACCTTTTTACTGATTAGAAAATTTATAGAAACCTTTAACCGGCCAATAGAGTATCAAACATGAATCATACATTTAATTAAAATTACAGATACACAATCTCAAATCACAATGTATTAATATAGATTTACCGAGCTAAATATCTTGATACAACTGAGTCCTTATACCACAATGTCAGTTTATACGTAAATTCATTTTTAGCTATCGAAATAGAATACGAAATCCAAACACAAGCATTTGGTTAGACGGAAACACGAATACCTATGTAATTGAATAGACTTTGTGTCGTGTAACCAGTACAAATTGATGGAAATAAATTAATAAGTATCAACGTTTAATTCTATGTATAAGTGAAGCTATTTATTTCAGTTCATCTGAGATTCCCCAATATCGCTTACCCTTCGACGTAGTCCAATATGAAGTAGAGTTAGTCAAGAATTTAGGGGTCAAATTTGTCACTGGAAGAGCGCTCTCTGTCAACGATATTACTGTTGATGTAAGTAATTTTTTCTGTTACCTAGATAGTAATTATTGCGATAAGTATTCTGCGGTCTTGCTATGACCAATATTTTCTTATTCTATAGTATTTTGGTAGTTAAAGAATAGTTTAAGTTTTTCAGTTTAGATTGTAAGTAGTTTAGTAATTGTATGTAAGTACATGGTTACTCGTAATATTTTTGTTAATTTAGGTCATACCTTTACCCTTAGTATTGTTCCTTTTCCTTCCTACTACTTAAAGCTTGTTAGCGATAAGGCCACCTGTAATTTAATAATTTATGGTATCTCTTTTTATATGTAACTAAGTGTTAATAAATAAAAAATAAATATCTTAAGGAATAAGCAATAGAAAGTGGCTGTCATTTTCCACGTGACTATACCATAAGTTTTCCATATCTTGCAACGCCTAGTTTTATAAAAATTTGAACATGACAACATTTTTAACCAAACTGCTCACTATTTCTTTTCATCACAGCTTAAACGAAATTTAATAAAAATAATACCAATTGTTGTTTTTTTCGTTTATTTGACTAGATTCAAATAACTCTTCGGGAAAAAAATAATAATTGAAATTATTTAAATAATTTTAGGGTCTCTTAAACGACGGTCATGCTGCTGTGTTCCTTGGTATCGGTCTTCCAGAGCCTAAAAGTGTTCCAATATTCAAGAACTTAACCCAGGATATGGGTTTCTTTACCAGCAAGGATTTTTTGCCGCTTGTATCTAAAGGCAGTAAGAAAGGTAAATCTATTTTTACACAGTATGTTAATTGTATATAAAAAAGTTACGTGTCACGTTGTTTGTCCGCTATGGACTCCTTAACTACCGAACCGATTTCAATCAAATTTGCACACCGTGTGCAGTTTGATCTAAGTTAAAAGATAGGATAGCTAACATCTCAATTTATACCCGCAATATTATTTTATTGCAAAATACATATTTGTTTATTATTTGATAGTCACAATTCTAAAAGATGGCGCTGTGTTGAAAGTACCAACGTTTCACATAAGCTACAATTTAATGGTGGTCCCCATGACTGGTGTTCTCCTACCGTTTCCCATGAATAGGTATTTAATATAACTAAAACCTTAGCCACAGCAACGCTTGGCCGAGTATGTTAATTGTATATAAAAAAGTTTTCAACTGTCATAGAAACACATACTCTAAAACTATTAACGAAAGCTTTTCTCTATCTCGCAGTCTGCCAATTGACGTGCCAATTAACATAAATAACTTCGACTAGAACAAACTGTACAATTATTTAGCTTGTTTAAAAATATAATTGTTGAAAACTGAATCAATTAAAACTCTATTGGTCTGTTGACAAAAATTGCTGCTCTCAAAAATATAAGGTATGAGACAGAATCACTTTTCGATAGTCTTTCGACAGTCCCTTAGTGGACAGGTGTAACCACTAAACGAATTTGTATGGGAATGACGTTAGCTCACGCTTTGTCACGTGATCATTTTTATCACATTATTATATTTTTACAGGTATTTGTGCGTGCAAACCCACTTTACCCGAATTATATGGGAATGTAATAGTATTGGGTGCGGGAGACACAGCCTTTGATTGCGCAACTTCCGCTCTTCGCTGTGGAGCTAGGCGAGTCTATGTCGTGTTTAGAAAAGGATTTACGAACATTAGGGCTGTGCCTGAGGAGGTAGTATTAATTAAAACCTTTATTATGCCTATATAACAATTCAAACAAATTAGCCAAAGGCTTGTGTGTCTGTCTGATATTGAAAAGCTAATGATTTTTAATTTCAGGTAGATTTAGCGAAGGAAGAAAAATGCGAATTTGTTCCATTTATGTCCCCTCGTGAAGTTATAGTACGAGATGGAAAGGTAAGTTTTTTTGAAGTTACATTTATACTCAAATATTTGTTTAAGTTTAAATTTCCTGATACGTTATAATCCCCACTAAATAATTATTTCGAGAGACGATTTTCAGAATGAAAGTACATAGATTAATAAATTTGAAATCGACAGTAATAATTCCAACCTTTTTTGATTGGTTTTACGTACTTTGGTTTTGTATGATAAAAAATATTTGTAGATAACAGCTTTGAAGATGTGTCGTACAGAACAACTAGATAATGGTGATTGGATTGAAGATGAAGATCAGGTGATGCAGCTCAAAGCTAACTTCATTATCTCAGCGTTTGGTTCTGGGCTCTATGATACGGATGGTAATTTATATTTTTTTTATACCTATACCTAGATGTTTATTTTTGAAGTGAAACTTCTTTATCGAGGTTGGAAAAAAATTTAGTGTAACATTTTTTCGTTACGCGTCACATTTTTCGGTTACGCGCCATGTTGCTTTTTGAAGTCAAACTTCTTTATCGGCTTGGAATGAAACTTCTTTATCGACGTATGGGAGAAATTTTGTAGCAAATCGTCACTTTTTCAATGATAGTAATAATTCTATTACAATAAATGAAATTCTATAATACTCTTCGTAGTAATAAGGTAAAATGAAATATTTGTATTCATGTCATTGATAATTAAACCTTTTGTTAAACTTTATCTAATTTAACGAATTTCTGTAAAGTTGCATATAGTAGATAATTTTTCGAAAAATAAGATCATAAAGAAGTTTCACTTCTTACGTGTGTACACCTAGTACACGCACAATTTATTTTTATATAATTTTAAGTGAAACTGCAGGAGAATATTTCGTTATAGATTCTTAGAAATTTTATGACTTGTAGTTCTAGTTAGTCAAAATTAATATTACTCTATGTCGATTTTAAAACACCTTTTTTGGTTTCGATTAGATTTGATTAAAACTCCGGATTTTAAAGTAATTTAGAGTAATGCGACAACACTTTTATTGTACACTGGTATTTTTCTGGCAATAATAGCGATTGCATTTATTTTGCAGTAAAAAAAGCGATGTCAGGTGTCAAATTATCACGTTGGGGTCTCCCTGATGTTGATGGAAGTACATTACAAAGCGTTTCCGAACCACGTGTGTTCGTCGGTGGAGATTTAGCCGGCCTTGCCGAGACCACTGTGGAATCAGTCAATGATGGAAAGACTGCCGCTTGGTATATGCACTGTTATCTACAGGTATTCTTCTTTTTAATATAATAAAATTTACTGAAGACACGGCCTCTTAACAATAGATACATATTTACTTTCCGAACCAAATAAGTTTTGATAACGTACTAACGCCACGTATCCAGCTTTAAAGGTTTAATAGAAATCATAGCCTAAACTATTGGTTTTAATTTTAGATGTTTAAATTAGAATTCAAAAGAATAAATGGACAATATTGTAATTCTGAAAAAAGAAATCCCATTTTTTAAAGAAAATGTTTTGTGATATTCTTTAATATTTAAAAGTATTAATATATTTACGGAGACATATGCAATCGATTTAGATGCGACTGGATAAATTATTTCCAGGGTATCCCGTTTGACGCCCCTGCGGAGCTACCAAAATTCCATTGCCCCATTGACGACGTGGACCTGTCAGTGGAGGTGTGCGGTATCAAGTTTGAGAACCCTTTCGGCCTTGCGAGTGCTCCTCCTACAACAAGCTCTGCGATGATTCGACGAGCTTTCCAGCAGGGATGGGGCTTCGCTGTCACAAAAACTTTTGGTCTGGATAAGGTGTGTGCCCTCAAAGTATTATTACAGTTCTTTGTTTGTTAAGTATCGTCGGTTTAATACATAAACATAATATCGACCTCAATAACTTAAAGAATGCTTTGTTATGTTTGTTTATGCTGAAATTGACAATTGACAGTGAGAACAGATTATTAAATAGCTATTTCTAGCCTCTATAGCCTTATACGTAGATATTATAAATAAAATCGGCAGTAGCATACTCTACACACATAAAATTAGGGTACGATTTGTCTACACACGAGGGGATCTAGGGAGCGTCTAGGGTGCTCCCCACCACTTCCTTTTCCTTTGATTTTAGGGCTGTGTGTAGGGCTTTAAGATTGAATATTCTATTGCCTGATGTTGAGAGCCGATTAGCTGCGAGATGGCTGATATGATTTAGATTATACATAATACAAAAGTATATATAACTAAAACAGGGAAAAGGTTTAATTTCTTGTATATGTTTCGTATTGAGCAGATTTATTATTTGTATAAGAAAATAAATTTAAGAAGTACTTACGTTTGACCTAATATTAATCTATGTTTCGGTTGAAAAAGGTTTGCCACGGAGTATGTGACAGACACTTTTCTATGCGTTTCTCTGGCTTTTATAATAAAAAAAACCATAAGCTTTTTCTTCTTCGAAACAATATTTTCATTGAATACAAGTTTGCTTAATAACAGGATATTGTAACCAACGTGTCACCTCGTATCGTGCGTGGAGTGACATCAGGCGAGAATTTTGGTCCAGGGCAGGGATCCTTCCTCAACATCGAACTAATCTCAGAGAAGAGCGAGGCATACTGGTGTCAAAGTATAAAGGAACTCAAGCGAGATTTCCCTACTAAGGTGAGGTTTGATTATTTCAACTAAACCGAGCCACTTGATAAAGTGTTGTATACTTTCATTTGCTTAATTTATTTGTCGGTAGAAATACCATTTGTTTTTGGCTTCAAATAGAATAAAAGCAGAAATAGTGTGTAGTAAAAAAATAAATCAACTATTGTCTTTGATTTATTATATGTATGTATGTATGAATGAAAAACATAACAACAATTATATATTCGAATTTTGTGTATGTGTATTTAACGAAACTGATATTTCAGGTTGTAATAGCGTCAATAATGTGCTCGTATAATGAAGAAGATTGGACCAATTTAGCAACGAAGGCAGAAGCGTCAGGCGCTGATGCTCTAGAACTGAACTTATCCTGCCCTCACGGCATGGGTGAAAGCGGTATGGGACTCGCTTGTGGACAGGTTAGTCAGTTATAGGATCTCCAGATACAGAAAAAAAGTGCGTGCGTACTAAGTACACATGACAGAAGTAAAACTTCTTTGCAAATTAATTATTACTAAGGTAAAAGCCCCAATAGATGATCATGTACCTGTATATGAGCACTCCATGATTTGTATATCTATATTCACACTGTATACGTGCTAATGATAATATAAATAAATAAAAAATCTGCGTTTACTGCACAAGACGTTATGCGACAGAATTGCCATCTTGTTCTAGTATGTAACTACTAAACGAATACATCAACCAATAGCGTGTATTTTTTTCGAGCTCCCTTACTCTCTCTCTCTCAATCTTTCTCACTAGCTCTCTCCCACCTCTCGCTCCATGGCAGTGTTCCTGATGCGACGTTTGCTCTATCTCACTCTCGCTCCCAATCTTTCCGACTTGCTTGCTCCCTACTCTCGCTCCATTGCTATTATATCAATTAAAAGAAACGAATATATTTTTTAATTTGAGGTTATTAAAACTAAAATCAATATTCAATAAACTTTCACATACGTGTACACATTCTAATGTTGATAACAGAAGTTTTACGAATAACGAATATCGAACTAACATTTTGTTAATGTGTTTCAGGATCCCATGCTCGTCAAAGGCATATCTCAATGGGTGCGAAAAGCAATTAAAATACCATTTTTCGTCAAATTAACGCCGAATATTACAGAAATTGTAACTATCGCTAATGCTGCTTATGAAGGTATACTTTGCATAGTATTTTATACATCTTTATAAAAAAAAACATCTCAGCTTTAAGCTCGGTAGGTATTGTTATAATACCTAATGTTTATAATGTTAATGTAATTATAGGTATATATACCTAAACCTGAATATATAAATATACAATAAATGCCTCATTCTAGATATTGGTGAAAACCGCACATTATATAAATAAGAGTTAGAGATAAGTTATCGCTTTTTCTTGTTTTTAATATCAATCACTCATCGTTAGGCAATTACGTAAGAAACATTTTCGTTCAACCGTTTTTCTCCAACTTACTTTGTAAATCCGACTACCAATCGGATTAATATGTAGCATATGACACCCACAAATAACGTTGCTTTCTATTAGTAAATATAAAATTTAAAATCGATTTAGTAGATCCAGAGATTACCCCTACATCACTTACTTTACCTCTTTATAATATTAGTACAGCTTAAAGCTTGTAACAATAGTATTATATTATGTAGTGGTAGGGTTTTTCTCGTATTTATGTTTTACAAATCTTCAGGTGGCGCTAGTGGAGTGTCAGCAATCAACACTGTATCTGGCCTTATGACTGTCAAAGCTGACGCCACACCTTGGCCTGGAGTTGGTAAGTTTTATGATTTTTAACCCCTATTATCATCAGACTACAAATACATATATCAGAATCTCGTATAGAATTTAAAATTGTACTTTTACAGGTATAGAGAAAAAGACTACATATGGCGGTGTATCAGGCAACGCTACTCGGCCTATGGGACTTCGGGCAGTATCTTCAATAGCCAACAAATTACCCGGTTTCCCAATACTCGGAATTGGAGGCATTGATTCCGCAGACTCAGCACTGCAATTTATACTCTGTGGAGCGCCAGTTGTTCAGGTAAATAATTTTCCAGTGGTCGTAATTGTATGGTGTTTATATAGTTTTTTAAATAGCAAAAGAGTTTCTTATAACTTAACTTTTCTTTACTCATAAGGTTTTGATAGCAGGCGTTGGTTTAGCACTATGGCACGTTCCAACTTGTAAGATAAAAAGATTAGGCAATTTTTTGACTTAAAACTATAAAGATATTTAATTACAGATATGCAGTGCTGTACAGAACCAAGACTTCACATTGGTAGATGACTACATTACAGGTCTTAAAGCTTTATTGTACTTACGTTCAAAGGGACTTAACGGTTGGGTCGGCCAATCCCCACCGAGCTTTAAACATCAGAAAGGAAAACCTGTTCAGACACTGTACGACGATAATGGAAAGGTACAAATATACTTTATTGTAATATTAATTGATTTTTATTTGGTTTAGTAAGCCTTAGCTTAATGATAGCTTCGTCGAGAGAGACGTATTCTGTCGATGCAATAAAAATGTAATATATTATTTTTCATATAATTTAAAGTTATACACTACTACCTTACATATATGGTTTTAATATAAATTAATTTAAGGGTTTAATTTTATTGAAACGATAAATATACAATGAAAAATGTGCTATTATCAATTTTATATTGCAGGTACTAGCCCACTTTGGGCCATACCAACAGAAACGTGAACGAATGCTTGAAACGTTACGAGAAAATTCCGATTTAAACGATGATTCGATCTTAAATAATGGCTCTGTCAATGGTAACTGTGAAGTGCCAAAGATCAAAGATGTTTTAGGTCTGGCATTACCAAGGATTGGTACTTACAAACAGCTAGATAATACAAAACAAGTTGTTGCTCTTATTGACGACGTAAGTATTATTTTAACAAAACGCAAACTATTATATTATAGAAACACACCTCATTTATAAACGTACGCTGTATAGCTCGGAAATCATTAGCATTTCCAAATTAATTTGTAAATGATTTTATTTGCAAATATATTTTTTTAGTAGGTAATTTGAATCTTTATAGTTTGTGGATATCTCTGTAATCTTAGTGTAACAAAAAACTGAAAAATAATATGCATTAAGTAAGATAATAACGAATTTGTTTTAGGACATGTGTATAAACTGCGGTAAATGTTACATGGCCTGTGCTGATTCGGGATACCAGGCTATTGAGTGAGTATAATCATAAAAAGATTATTTTGTGTCTAAACTTATTCACCATATCATTTTCGTTTTTGTCTCTAACCTGATGATTGTCCTTAGTATTTTGTATAATACTTTATTGTAACTATCATATACCACTTCTATTTTGTATATTCTCTAGGGTTTACTGGAGCGGTAAGTGTAAATAAAAACAATTACTTCAGTTAATGCCGATGCGCATGGTAACTTATCCACTGAGGTGGTATGGGAAAGAGTGTAACAAAGAAAAAATTATATTATTACAGGTTTAACGCTGATACCCACATCCCGCGGGTGACTGACGACTGCACAGGATGTACATTATGTTTGTCTGTGTGTCCCATCATTGACTGTATTTCGTAAGTAATTAAATTACTATACGCATATTTTACGAAAAAATATTGCTTAGAAAATTGTCTAATTACATTGGCTTTGTCCAGAAGTTTAACCAGAAGTCGCCTGTTTATGGATGAATATTTTATAATTTGTGGTACTTCAGTGATCTGTGATGTTGTGTTGTTAATAATACACGAAAAATTAAATGAGCGTCTTTGTTTCGATATTTATACAGAATTTTCTTGTTTTAGTATGGTGCCTAAGAAAATCCCTCATATCATCAAAAGAGGGTTCCATTACCAAGTCCATCCTATATCACCATTAGATGGGGTGTGTCAATAAAAATGCGTTTGTATAAAAATATATTATAAACATACAAAAATATAATATAAATTGTTTAACCCAACACTCTTTGTTTTATTTCTTTCGCCTTTGTTGCAGCTGTTTGCCATGAAAATATCCAATCATTGTTTGGATTAACATTTAATGTTAGTGCCGAAACTGGTTGTGGACAATTATAGTGTAATTTATTTACAACACTTTTTATGACTTTGCCCAATTTTTGTTCATGTAACTTCTTACATATGAAACATTCAAATTCTTCAGCAACTTTCAAAGCATCTGTTTGATAGGGTCTTAATTTTAATTCATTTAACAAGCGCATGTTGGATATAAGTTGTTTTGTTTTATGCTCTAAATGTCTCTCATATAAATTATTATCATTGTCTAACCTTTTGAGGTAATCACTTAATAATTTAGGTGTAGGATAGTCTTCTAGTAATATTGCTGAATTTTCATCAGGGAGCCAATCCTTGACAGTCGGTGAACCAAAATAAATAGGCACAGTCCCAACTTTGATAGCCCGCCAAAGCTTCTCTGTGATATAGTCATCACAAACACCATTCTCAATTGCTAATACAAATTTGTATCTCGCAATAAAATGCAAAAAATCGTCGTCATTTAAACGGTTTAGATAATCATCAACAAACCTTGCTGGCATTTGCTTGTTCTTGAGGCAACCCCCATAAGAATCGACTTTTATATACCTCATAAGTGCCTCTACATATTTATCTCTTTCTGTAGCAGTTTCACAATCTGTTTGTAAATACATTATTGGAGCAATGTCCTTAAAGCTATTTTTATTTTCTGTTGGAATAAAAAATTTGGTACTTGTTATATCCTTAACAGATTCTAGATATTGTAAAGGAAATGGAACATCACTATGTCTGCTAAAAGTTGAAGAGTAATTAAAAAGAATTAATGTTTCCTCATGTGATAATTCCTCAACATTTCTTGGCGACTCTTCATGATACAATCCCCATATCACATCCTTTCTAGGCAAAGGAAGATTATTAAAATCAATGTTGCTGGCATAAAACAGGTATGAATTAACCCTATCTTCAATAATATTACTGCTAGAAACAATACAAATTACGTTATTTGGGCATTGTCTAATTTCTTCAGTTCCAGGGAAGCCAGTTGTCCACCATAATATCACAGGGATAGGTGATTTGTCATTTTCTTTATCACTACCAGTCCAGAACCAAAGTACAAATAGTATGGTTAAAATTATTGCCAGAATAAAGGTTTTTTTTATTGTTTTTAAAAAATATTTAGTAACAAAGTTCATTATCACTGCACTGTTAATTTAATATTACACTTGCATTAGTGTTATCAGAGGAAGTATGACATTATTCAACACATCTACATAACAATTGTAGTATATTTATAGAGTAAGGCCTCTTTCTTTATACATATAGTAACCATCCATACAGAATGCAATAAACAAGTCAATATAAAACAGTCCATAAATTGCTCCAACTATTTTACCAACTATAAAAAGGTTGATAAATGCTATAACAGTGATTATCGCTTCAATAATTACATAGTATAACTCTGCCTCATACTGCACTTGATCAACAACATAAAGTATCATAATTTGAGTAGATATCATGAGAGTCGGAGCAGCAACCAAACAGTTTATAAGATCCACAGGTTCCACTATATGAGGTATTATATTGAGAAGGAGAGCCACTACCTAAAACCAAGATATACTTTCTTGTAGTTTTATAGAAATTTATGACCAGAATATGGAACACTTAAATTGTAACACGGTTACAAAAATACAAGTTGCATTTAATAGGACATTTATTATATTTCAAAACTAAATCAACATGCCTCTTTCTTTAAATCCATAATATATATCTATACATAGGGCGATTAAAAGATGGCAATAAAACAAGCCATATACCGCTCCCGTTGGATCGTTTCCTAAGAGAACGAAGACAAATGCGGCTACAGTTAGAGTAATTTGTTGAGACAGGTATAATTGTTCCGCTACAACGTGCACTTGGTCCACTAAGTAAAGCACGATGAACATTAGAGACAGGACCAGAGTCGGTGCCACTGCCAGGCAATGCATAACGCCGGCATCGCTCAAGATAAATGGTATTATCATGAGCATTAATGAAATTACCTAGAAGTTAACATGATACTTACAATTCGTATCTACATAGCATCTATTTTCATTTGATTTAATTTTCATTATTTATGCACAATAACAATAAAAATTTATATTTGTTTTGGTTACAAAAATCACAGCATACTCTATTTAAATTTATTTACATAGAATATACTTTATTTGAATTTTACATTAAGTTCCAAAACAATAGTATATATTTTCATTATACAAACAAAACTTATTTTGAACAGAATATTATTGTTGATTGTTTTGACTTTTGGCTTTTAAAAGATGTTGTGTGTGTTTTCAAATTACATATTATGTCAAAACTCAGGTTGTAATTTTTTGTTATTGATATAGTGACATACAGATCATCATCAAAAATCATCAATATTAATTCTATTTCTATAGTTAAGATTATTTTTTTTAATGAAATCCGAGTATCAATAAAGAGAAAAAAAATTTGTTTGTGTTGTTTGAAGTATGTATAATTGTACAAATACTAAACTACGTTTTTTTAAGAAATTCTTAATAAGTTTAAAAAAATAAAGACGCAAAAGATTCTGTTTTTTATTTTAACATAGTATTAAACTATAAAAATAATAATACTACTTGTAATATTTTATGCACAGCTAAATGTACATCCTCTTTCATTAGCAATTAGAAATAGATCTAAAGATAACGCCGTTAAAAGAGCGAAATAACATACTCCATAAATTAACCATAACCAGACTCTTACAAGATTTAACAAAAAACATTGAATGAACGCTCCAAATGTAAAAAATATTTGAAAAACCAGGTACATTTTTTCCATAAATAAAGGTACTTTTTGTCGCAAATATAAAATAACAAACAACATAGATATTACTGTTGTCGGTCCGGTGGCAATGCAGTACATGTGCCCTTGAGGTTTTGGAATTATCACCGGAAGGCACAGGATAAAAAGTGAAATGCCCTATAGGAATAATAACACCCATCAAATGATAACTTGAACTAAGAAAAAAACTGTTCTGTTGGACCTATTTTTACAAAAATACATATATACTATATAAATATTTTCACTGTTATATTATTTATATTGTACTTTACTTACAAATTCCACGAGCTTCATAATAAAAATATTATATCGTATTAGTTCGCTCCATTTTTTATCAACTGGAACTGAATCTAAAAATACATCTTATTTTTATTACAATTAAATATTTTAGCTTATTTTTTTTATTCTTCAATAAATATATTCTCGTGAATTTGATTGTACTGTCGCATTTTTTCGTTTCGGCTTAATATCTTTAAATAACGATGAATTTAATTATATTTTGTAAAAAGGACAAAAATCTGTTCTCGTTCTCAATTATTAACATTCTTATATTATATTATTAAATTCAGTAAGAAGGTTTTTCATAGTCATTGAATGTTAGAAATTTTAGGATTATTATTTACATACCATTAATTATCATATCAGACATTTTGCTTACTGTATTTTTGAATAAATTAAATTTAAGCTAATCAGTTGGGAACGCGCTTGCTAAAAGTATATCAAAATTATTGATAAGTATACATTTCAAGTTTCAGTCGAAAATAAAATACAAAACTGAGATAACAAAATAAAATATTCAAAGTCACCAAAAATATAGTGTGCCAATCTTTTGAAGATTTGTCATTTTATTTTAAATTAGCATAGATGAAGAATTCACATCTTTAATTATAAAAAGAGCAGGTGCGTGAGGGATGGATGGTATAGAGTATAGACACAATCTTTATATATATAATTCTTCTGTGAGTGTGTATGTCACTGAACTTCTCTCAAACGACTGGACCGATTTTGATGAAATTTTTTGTGTGTGTTCAAGGGGATCTGGGAATGGTTTAGATTCACAAATCAGCCCGGCAGATGGCACTGCAGTCGGTACTTTCATACTTTGCTTAATATCCTAATCGCTTTAAATATCATGCAGGACAACGTCTGTGGGGTCCACTAGTATGTATAAAAATTTGTAAACATCTCGCAAGAACCTATTCTAAGAAGTAACTCACACCTATGAATTTTAGGATTTTACCGGATTTAATAAGGCCATCAATTTGATTCAATATTTGCAGATACTGGATTTACAGCAATGTACAGACAAAAGAAAATTAATAAAGACACCAGCAACGTTCGTATAAGATTAAATATGTATACTGAAAATTGTTATAGTATGGTAAAATATGGCTATAGTGGGATGGTGTCATTCCTAAGGATAAAAGAAATCCATGATCTCATTTAATCTAACGAGAAAATCAGGATTCAAATATTATGTAGCTTTGCTAAAACGTTTTTCACGTCTTTACAACAAAAACGATTTAGTGTAGGATAAATACTTAGATTAAAAATAATATTAATTAATTTCTTATAGATTATAAGATTAACATCGTTCAGGCCGCTTAAACGGCGCCGTTAAGTTAAAAGGCTAGGCTGTTAATTGAATAGGTAGTTAATAAGGCTAGTTGGCTCCGACATCTACACTACTTTTAAGGCATATTGACAAAGCCCCTAGATTGTTTCAATCTAAAATTATCATTTAGTCTGTGGACGCTAGAATTACAAGTAACATTTGACAGTGACACTGTAAGTGCACAGGCCACAGACACTCATACATGATACACAACTATTTACTGCACAGTGCATTCCAATGAGGTCCCCATATTTCAAAAAACGTTTTAGTTTTGAGGAAAGCTTGTTTTATATAATTATTAATTAAAGGAAAAGTACCACAATGAAGTAGTATATTACAAAACTTACGCAATGGAAGAAGACGATCCTGTTGTTCAAGAGGTAATCAGTGTCAGGAAGTGGGTTTTAATAGGTTATGTTATGGTGTTAATTTTTTAAATGTTTTAGATACCAGTGTTCTTATCCCAAGCTTTGACAAAGAATCTATACATCTATCAGTATCCAGTAAGACCGGCCAATAGGGATTGGTCAAATGCAAAAGTTGAAAATGTATCTATTAAACCGCGGAACAAATTAGTACGAATGGAAATTGGCTTAGATACTTACAGCGATAAGTATTGTTCATCCAAAGGTGAACAGATTGCTGTTAATACCGATGGGCTGCATGTAAGTATACAATACAGCGTATTAAATTTTTAATATTGAATATTTTATGTGATCAATTTTGAACAGATAACAGTGTTTCACAGATACCTATAATTCTTAGAATCATAGGAAGGAATAATTCCCAGTAATGCCTTTTATTTATAACTTATTTGCAGGGATTAATTAAGGATAAAGAACGTGAAAAATCTAGATATTTTAAGACTGATGTAATGGATAAAATTGTTTATGAAAGTAGTTCTACTTGTGTTGATACACAACATTATGCTATTGGAATATTGCAAGATAAGGAGCTGCATTGTACTCCCATCCAAGGTAATTTTCCTATTATTTGTACATAGGAATAATAACATTGCAGCACTCTAGTTGAGACTACATAGGCTTTATTTCACTAAAAGATGTATATTATCTCACTTTTAAAAATGTAGCTAAAATAATGTTGTAACTATAAATTGGCCTACGCATGTAACTGTCATCCCTAAAATCATACAAAAACTTAAAAACTTTGTTTAAAAATTGTTTTGTTTCCTCTATGACTTTTTGCTGTGCTGTGTATTGTGCATAATACCTTACAAAAGTAATTTTTAAAGTTGCAACTGGTAAACATGCTGGACGCAATGGATAAATAATATTTTTAACTGTATTAATTACCTAAGTATAATATATACCTGTATATACTATAGGTATAGTCCAATTACGTCCATCCTATTCATATTGTGACAAACAAGATAAAAGGAAGCAGGATAAGAATGAATTGGATGTGTCAGAAGATGAAGAAAAGGAACCTGAAATACAGCAGGTGAGATAAATGATAAAATGGAATAATAATAAAGCTTGCTGCAAGTTTGTATTGTAAATGTGTTTTTCTCTATATATAGAGATATATTTGAAATTTGTATATGGCAATATAGTATGTTATAATTAATATAGTAGAGTTAACAGAATGACCACTTATGACAATAGATTTTAATATATGATGTTGTTTATAGGTTAACACAAATAATATTCAAACAATGTAACATCCATTATAATGCACTTAGATTAAGTTCGTTTTAAGTGCTGCGGTGCGGAATCTTCTTATCTAATATTGATATATTGCATTCTATCTGTATCATGTAGTTTTAATATATATATGTACATATTTCAGGTCACAGTAAAGTTTGCACGAGTAGAGACTGAAGTTGCAAAGAAAGCCAGGGAAAAATCCTTTCACACAATTAGTCAAAAGGTTGCTGAAGAGCCATGGTATGATGCATTGTGGAAAAGCTCAAAAAGTGATCAGGCTGAGGTACATGTGCCGGACTAAACTTATATCCTCATAATTAGTTTTAATTAGAAAAAAACACCTGCCTAAAATGTGTTTGGGAAAAATGTATTCTTTATGTAAACTTTTTTTAAGTACAACACATACTAATATTGAATTCATAAAATTCTTGCATACAGTAATAAGCTTGAAATATAAGTAGCTCTTATTACATATATGCTAATATGTATGTATATTTTTTTTAGTTGGAGAGATTGAAGCTGTTTAGTGCAACGTCATCAGACGGGTCTGCTTTGACCTTAGAGGCACGGGATTACATCAAAGAACTAGTTCCAAGTGCTGAAGAAGATGAACAAGAAACTGAAAAAACACTAACTTTGCCAGAAGTCATTAAGGAGATACTATTGGATGGTAAAAATTTATACTTCATTTTATTCTAATTTTTTTTTATGATACAGCATACAAAAATAGATACTCTATGATCAACCCTTATTTTTTATTATTGTAGATAGTTATTTTTATTGAACTAAAATAATATTTCCTGGAAATAATATACATGGCAAAACAAATGTTTGCCGGGTCAGCTAGTACTTATATAGATTCTCAGATTAGTTAACCCAGTGAGATAAAACATATCATTTTATTTACAGCTAAACTAATGACATTCACGGAACTCCGTGAAGCGGTACGCCGTAGTGGCCTACAAAGTGGCGACGCGGCCCTTTTAGGCGCTCTGGGCGGGGCCGCTTGCTGTGTGAGAGGCTTGTGGGCGCCGAGATCACATGACGTATACCCGCGCGCCACGCCTGCACCCCCAAGACTGCTTTGTGCTGCTAGGGACCATGTGGTGAGTATTTTAACAAGTTAAAAATCAAGTACTAGCAATAGCAGTCCATTTTGCATAGTATCCTCGTATTACTCGTTGGTTAACTAACTATCTTTCCTTACTTTAGGTTTACTTCTACAAAATCAGATTTATAATTTTTGTTATAGCTTATTTATAATTTTCTATAACGTCACTGTAGAATGATAACCTCGTATCTCAAAAAAGCATTTATTTTTTATTATTAGACTTATGTCATTTAACAGGTATAATCGAATGATGGATTAGTTAATGGGCGTGTTTGGCCGAAGTAAGTACTTACTAAACTTAGTAAGCCAGTAAGCATAAAAAAATTAAAGTCTTACAAGCTGACTGTAGCGCTTTTCGGCCAGGACAGACTTACTGGCTTATTAATATAACACATATTTTTTGTTGCGGGTAGGCGCAAGTTGAATATCGAGTCCTCACAAAATAACCAATTAAAAATAGAAATAAGTGAGAATACACAATAAAAAGTAAATATCAAACTGAACCAGGAGAAGATATACCACAGGCAAACGTATCTGCCTCATTATTAGTGTAAAAAATAGAACATTTTCACGTTTTAATTTGTGTTATTGCAACGGTGACTTTTCGTTTTGACTAAAACAATTAAAAGTGCGTGTACAAATCTAGTGCAAGTGACTTGGAACAAGGATCAGTCAATTTTTGTTGATATTACTATAAAAAGAAGAAAAAACTACGACTTTGTAACAGTGATGTTAAACGGGTATACGTGACTTGCAGCGACCTAATATTACATTAGTCACTCCTTGTAAACGTCACTCAAGAAAGAAACTGTTCAAGTAATTCGTCTTCTTCGTCATACAGTATCTCGGCATCGCAGATAAGCTGTGTTCCTGAATCGAACATTTGTATCGGCCCGAGTTCAAACCTAGACACGGAATATTGACACTTCAATTAATTTCGAATTTTTATTTTTATAATTTTACTTGAAGATATCTAATCTATTTCTAACGGATAGAATATAAAAGGAAAAATAATTCTGTAATAAAAAAAAAAAAATAAAAAAATTAGAAACAACATTTCAAAGTATGGACAAAAAAGAAATGGAATACCTTATAGAATCGATACACCAAAAGCTGTGCGAAAAGTTGGAAGATCAGACGAGAATTATAACAGAAAGTGTAACAAAGTCCGTCGTAAGCAGTATAAATGTGAAGTTAGCAGAATTAACTGAAGAAAACAAGAAACTTAAATCGGAGATCGTCGTTCTAAAAGACAAAGTAAAATTCCTTGAAGATGGGAAAAGGAAAAATAATTTAGTATTTTTTGGCATACATGAAAACCAACAAGAAGAACCTAACCTGCTTACACACATACTGAAGTTGATAAATAATTCAACTGGTTTATCCTTGGACCCTAAAGAGCTAAGCTCAGCTTATAGACTGGGCAAAAAGAGTGAAAATCCTCGCCCAGTCCTCGTTAACTTCACTAGCCTTTGGAGAAAATACGAGGTACTGAAAAATGGAAACAAACTCCCATCTAACATGTATGTAAAAGAAGATTTTTCCAAAGAAGTATTAGAAAAAAGAAAACTATTACAAACCGAACTAAAAGCTGAACGTGCTAAAGGGAAAACTTGCCACATTAAAAAAGATAAGCTCGTTATATACGAGAATACGCGTGAGAAATCTGAAAAAAGAAAGAGAAACTGCTCAGAATCTCCGAAACAATATCAACCCCAATCAACAAGTAAAAAAATAAACTTACTTGATTACTACGAAGCGCATGGCTCGAATTCAACGCCGAAACAGCAAAAAAACTAGTATGCGCCACTGACCGCTCGAACCAACATAATTCTTTCAAACACAACAACAAAAGACAAAACGCACTAACCACCCCAAGCCGGCTGGTCACCGTGGGGGCTGTCGACCACTCCCTTCCAGCTCAGAAACGAGATGAGAAGATTCACAAAAACATTACAAGTTCCATCACTCCAAGCCGAATCGAAAATAAGATACTTTATATCGCCACTCTGAACTGTCTGTCATTGAGAACACACGAAAAACTTACCGAGCTAGAGTTAGCTCTTTTAAAGATAAACTGGGACATATTAGGATTAAGCGAAATAAGAAGGATAGGCGAAAGCATTGAAGATCATAAAGAGTATATGTGTCGGTTAGAAACAAAAGTGGTCAAATCCATTTGGAAGTTTTTATGGGAATCAACGACTTTTTATTCTGTTCTCCTTGCATAAGCTGTTTATAGAGTTTGAATCATTATGGCTTCGTCTAAGATGTTCTTACTAATTAAAAAAATTAAAATACATGACCGTTGTACTAAAAAATCAAAATAATTGAATTTAAATTTGGGATTTGACCTATTTCGAAACCAAGCTATGGATTTGACTAGTTTTGTTATTGATGTATTTGGATTTGACTATGTTTGATCCTTAATAGCATGGATATGACTGACTTTGATGCTAAAACAATATCATGTCAGGGGTTCTCAATATTTATTTGGGTCGGGTCGGTTGGGTAGTAACAATAAATATAAACAACTTGGTACATAATCAATCTTGCTTTATATGAAAAATCTTAATTTTTATCCATCACTTTTATGTTTTTGAAATTTATTAAACTACTATGGCTGGTAATTCTTCAAAGAAATCACAGTCTTCAACAACCTGTTCATGAGCAGTAGATGATTTTGGTCTTGATATTACTTGTTTGTAATATCGTAAATCTGAGATTTCTTCCCACTTCTCTCCAAAATGTGTGGTTAATAATTTCTTCACATCATTTAATTTTTCTTGTTTAACGTCCACATATAATTTAATCACATCTGGATTTATAGCAGAAACCTTCTTTTTTCCTTTACATATATTTTGATACTTATTTACAGTATTTAGATAAGATTCTTCCGCTCGAATGTAAACATTTTGTTGGTCACGAGTCCTTTTAAAAAAAAATCTTTTACATTTTTTAATCGAAAAGTGCATGTTAGTTGTAGTTTTTAATACCTCAGCCGATGATCGTTTCCAGTCGTAGACTTTTATATCAAGTCCCAAGTAATATACAGTCCCATGACGGATGAAAATTTCGTAATAATCGTCAGGGCAAGTCATTACCTCACGACTTTTTATTTCTTTTTCAATTTTTGCGAAAACTCTGTCTGGTGGCAAAAATGAATGGCCAACAACTGGAAACATTATTTCTATGCCCAAAATGTGTACAGGTGCATAGTCTTGTAACCATTTAGCTGCCATACCAAGAACAGATTGGTTTTTATTTTGGCCACTGCATCCATCTGCTACCAAACGAATCTGTGTAATATGCTCCAACCCAGGACTCAGAAAAATTGAATTCAAGCAATGAAAAACAGCGCTAGCAATTTCATTCGATGCTTTCGGCAAGACGTCTTCAGTCCAGGTATAGATAAACGTGTTATTAACAGTTAATGGCGATTTTGAATTTCCAATTACCACCGTAAAATTGTACACATACAACTGCCTCGAGTAATATGCACTTTGATCGGGAACTTTTGGACACGGTTGGTTCTTTTGGCAATCGAAACTTAAAATTAAAATATTTTCGCTGTTGTGTTTTAATAAAGCATAAAACGATTTGGCTCTCAATTTGTGAATTCTACTCTCAATCATTAATTTATTTTTTATCTCACTATTTTTTTCATGTTTTAGTCGTTCTTGTAAAACTATGCAAGTGGAGCACATATCTGTACGAGGGGATCCAAAACCTATGTTAAATTCGGTTTTGAAAATTTGTCTGAAGTAAGATGCCTTAATATTTTTATTTTCATCCACGGTTTCTGCGATAAACATTTTGTAAAGTTTACTAATGCTGAGCTCAGATGACAAATATTGTCTACTTTTTATTTTACTTCTGCAGTAATGTATTTCTAAAGGCTCGAGCTTCTTAATAAAGTCTTTGACAGCTTCCCTCTTAGGTGCATATTTTTGTGTTTTACGCCGCCCTCCTCTATTCTCTTGTGCAGATTCACCCATTGCTTTGAAATGTCGACTAATAACACCTGTCACTCTTCCTTTCTTTAAAGCTAAAATAGATAGAAATGTGGGTTTGCAAATTGGAATCAGAACATTATGTCGTCGTCGTGCAAAGTACGTTACCGACATTTCTTTTTTATTGCCACGATTATTTACTGGCCGTTGTCGCTGAGTAGTAGTAACTTTCGTATGGTTAATTATAAAATTATCCTGATAAATTTTGTCCGGTTTTTTATAGAAGGCTTTATTAAATGCTATTATATCAGCATGACTCAATGAAGTGCACCTGTATGCTTTTGTGTAGTGGTCACATGGAAGCTTTAAATTTGGTAGCTCTTTTGAAGTGTACCTAAAATAATAACGATCGTAAATAAGTAAATATTATTAAAAAATATAGGACCCCTTTTCTACGATTATTATTTAGTATTTTCATCATTTTTCTATAGTATTGTTATTTTAGTTATGGGTTTGCGTTGCGTTATAACGACGCATAAAAATATCATACTAGTTAAATACAAAGCTCTACCTTTGGGCTTCGCAGCACACAGATAAAGAATACTTCAAACAAAGAATTTGTAAGAAAAAGTAAATTATTCAGTAGCTGCTGATCCAAAATAAAACACGTCGCCTGTACGTAATAGAATTATTATGAAACAATGTTGAGCACCACTGACAATGAAGGGCAGCGTGAGTGATCAAAGCACCACAATCATACCTTTCCTTCTTCAATTTATTGCATTTCCAATCCGCTTTTTGTTGCGTCCTTTTCCGTGATAGCTGGGGAGTCGTTTCCTTTATTAAATTATCCATTTAATTGTAATTTAACACCAAATTTTAATTAAAAACGGCGACTAAAATACAAAACCACAATCCACAAGCTTCTGATTCTGCAAAACGGCAGTTATTTTCATAGATAGTTCTAGCTTCTGATTGGCTACACGGATTAGACCGATTTTGTTTCTAAGTTTTAAAGGATTTGACCATTTTTGATAGTGAGCAGTGATTTCGAATCGATTTTTCTACGAATTGCTTTTGATTTAACTCTTTTTGATACCGGTAACAAAAACAAGATTTTTTAACGAAACAAATGGCACATTCGGTTCCAAAATCTTTATTTTTGGATTTGACTAGTTTTGTTTCTAACCGACACATATCTTTATTATAAAGGCGAAATAAAAGGATCCCATGGAGTAGGCTTTATGGTTAAAAAATACTTACAGCCAAATATAGAAGAATTTAAGGGCATATCAGATAGAATAGCCATTCTTAATATAAATTTTCCAGGTTTCAAGGACAAATGGTCAATTATACAAATTTATGCACCTACTGAAAATCATGAAGAACATATCAAAGATAAGTTTTACAACCAATTGACTACAGTTTTACAAAATACTTTCAAAAACATCATAGTTATGGGCGATTTCAATGGAAGAATAGGACGCAGACGTCCTGGTGAAGAGAACATCATAGGCGACTTCGGCTTCGGCCCAAGGAGCAAAAATGGAGAACGAATGCTCAATCTCGCTCTCGAAAATAATATAGCATTCATGAACAGTTTCTTCAAAAAAGCTACGGCGAAGAAGTGGACATGGATATCACCGGACGGACGCCACAAAAATGAAATCGACTACATCGGAACCAACAATAGGAAACCCTTCCAGAACGTTAGTGTATTAAATCAACTCAACTTCAACACCAATCATCGATTAGTAAGAGCCACCATAAAATGTATCGAACCAAAGAAAAGTAGAAATAAATACAACACAAAAACAAAGCTAATGATAGTAAAACAAATCCCTGACAATGAAGTCAAAAACCAGATAGAAGGAAAATATATCAATGAAGTAAATGAAATACTTGGAACTCTAAGTCGCAATCCCCCAAAAACTAACAAGAAACAAATTGGAAAAGAAACTCAAAAGCTAATGGAAGAAAGAAAACAGCTCTTAAAACTTGGAAAAAACAAGCAAAATCTAAAATTGATATCAGAAGTAAGTAAGAAAATTAGTAACAATATTAAGAAAGAAAGAACCAAAAGAAGAATAGAAGCACTTAATTACCACATAACCAAGACAGGAGGAGTTAAAAAAGCTCTAAAAGAACTCGTAGAAACAAAACAATGGATACCGAACATTAAGAATTACGTAGGCAAACAACAGACAAAAAGAAAAGATATATTGAAAACTGCAACAGACTTCTATAGAAACCTCTACTCACTAGAGACTGATAATACCTCACAGAATTCAGTAAATCTTGAACAAGACGAAGAAGAGGTACCTAAATTTCTCCTTTCAGAAACGGAGCATGCTATCAAAAGCCTAAAAAATGGAAAAGCGCCTGGACCAGATCACATAACTAATGAGATGATCAAAGTATCATCAGCAGCACCAGGGAACCTAAGAAAACTTACTGAACTATTCAACACCATACTAAAAACGGAATACATACCTTCTCAATGGACGAAGAACATAATTACACTGCTCCACAAAAAGGGTGACAGGAACATCATAGAAAACTATAGACCTATAAGCCTTATGTCCAACATGTTTAAAGTTTTCTCCAAAATGATCCTGCGAAGAATAACGAAGGTAATGGATGAACAACAACCCATGGAACAAGCTGGATTCAGATCCGGATTCTCAACTGTAGATCATATACATGTTATAAAACAGCTAATACAAAAGTGCAAAGAATACGGAAAAGCACTATACATCGCTTTTGTAGACTACAGTAAAGCATTCGACTCTATAAAGCACGATTCCCTCTGGAGAGCCTTAATACAACAAGGTATACCAAAAAAATACACACGTATAATTAGAAATATATATACAAGTAGCACGGCTTATATCAAACTAGAGACAACGGGTGAAGAATTTCCTATAGCCAGGGGTGTGAGACAGGGCGATCCTTTGTCCCCAAAACTATTCTCAGCCATTTTGGAGAGTTTATTTAGAAATTTGGAATGGGATAAGGTCGGCATAAACATAAACGGCAGACAACTGAACCACCTAAGATTCGCAGACGATTTAGTGATCATTTCAGATAACGCCAAGACGCTTCAAACTATGCTGCAACAGCTGACAGAAGCAAGCAAGATAGTTGGGCTTTCTATGAACAAATCTAAAACGAAAATAATGACAAATAGAGAAACTATTATGATACAAATAGGAGGAGATGCTATCGAATATGTAGACCACTACGTATATTTAGGGCAAATAATATCATTTCATGACCAAATGGATCTTGAGATAGAAAGAAGAGTGTCTAGCGCCTGGAAGAGATTTTGGTCACTCAAGGAAGTACTTAAAAGTAAAGACTTCCCAATAGTAGCTAAGAAAAAGGTGTTCAATCTATGTATCCTACCATGTGTTACATACGGCTGCGAGACTTGGGCTTTATCTCAGAAACATCTTCTAAAGTTGAGAACATGCCAAAGAGGAATGGAAAGAAGCATGGTGGGTGTAACACTGAGACATCGAAAAAGAGCAGAAGAGATCAGATCAACGACCAAAGTAGAAGACATTATAAAGAAAATAAGGCAGTTGAAATGGCGCTGGACTGGGCACATGACGAGAGATAGCAGGTTGAAATGGACAAAAATAATTACAGAATGGCAACCACGTGATGGAAAAAGGAAAAGAGGAAGACCGACCAAGAGATGGGCAGACGATATTAAGATAATAGGAGGCACAACTTGGACAAGAAGAGCTAATAACAGAAAAGAATGGAAACAGCTGGAAGAGGCCTACGTGTCACAGGACACGCTGATTACCAAAAAACGGGTCATATGATGCATTAGATTAAGTTTTATTTTATTTATGTGTTAGAATTAAGTGTTTTTTTATGTAACTTAAATAATTGTATGGGTGTCAGCAATAAAGGCTAATTAAATTAAATTAAATTAAATATAACACAAAACACCGGTTTATGTCATATCCCGTACATATCTGAACAATGACAGGTCTGTTCCTGTCCGTTTTGTTTACATCAACAATAAGCAAAATGGCGTCGTATATTAAGCCATACTTACTGCGTTAGCACTTATTTTGTGTCCCGGCCGAAAATTTTGTAAGCATAGTAAGTGACTTACTAAATTTAGTAAGTACTTACTTCGGCCAAACACGCCCAATAACATAAATAAGTCCATCCAAAACTATGGACAAAAGCACATAATAATATTTTGACGAACATTGACGAAATTAAATATTTTTTCGTTTCCTGTAAACTTTGGTTGGTCATATCATTCTACAGCGACGATAAATAGGAAAGTCAAAAACGTCAAAAAATATATGTACTTTCAAATTAAATCAATAATAAAGTAAACAGTGACATTAAAATACTAAAAGAACATGTTTCTCTGCAAAAACGTAACACTGGTCATAATTTTTTTTTTCAGCTTTATCTTTTCACTCAACACCCATATGTGGACAGGCGAAAAATTACCGCCGCAGTCCGATTGCCAGCAAGTGACGTGCTTGGAATACTTCAGTCTGTCGCTAAACTAAATCCCAACACGGGTTGGGAGCTTTTATTACCACCGGACCTCGCCTTCGAAGCTAAATATCCAGAAATAATACAACGCCAGAATCTATACTGGGAAGCCAGGCAGCGGCAGTTCAACGAAATGCTAATGGGAGAATGTGTACCGAAGAGGCAAAGGAAGAAATCCCAAAGAGATTCTATAAGTTCTGATACAATGTTAAGTCCAAAACCGAGGTGTAATAGTGTTAGTGAAGAGGAAAGTGATAGAAAACGATATAAAAATAAATCTGCTAGTGGGGTGGGAAAACGGACTAGACATGTCAGTGGGGGACCGGATACGTGACTATAGTGGTAGTAGGTTATCAATTTAGGAATCAGTGTAAATATGTGAGGCTGTCGAATGTGTAAGTAAATTTAAATATGCGTTTTCAACTAGCTATTTATGGGCCATTTTTTACAATTTACATTTTTAGGATATTTAAAGAATAAATTGCTTAGCAGAAAATAAAAAGATCTCTGGGTTTTAATGTAGTAAATTATGGGTACATTATTCAACATATAAAAAGTTAATGTTTATAAATTGATCCTTCTGTTTTGTTGAAGAATATTTGATCTACAAACCCTAATGGAACGTTAATTTTTGTGATACAATTTATAGATAAAAATAATATTATGGCTTATTTTGCTTTTCTAATAAGCACCAGAAAATCCTACAATACAGAAAAGTAGTCATGCTTTTTTATTTAACTTCAGTAAATATCTTATTTAAAATTTGCTTACATTATGAAATTATGTTATCATAACACATAACAAGTGTATGGCCAAAATATAATGTAAATCTGTTAAATTTTTTTTTTTAATATTACACTGTTTTTATAACTCTTATCACCTCCGAAACTTAGTGGTTAACATACATTGTGTATGAAGGAACCTGGTCTCGATTGAAATGCAATCTAATTGTTTTGGGTCGACTGGCACAGAAGGCTGATAACCTACTTGCTAAACGCAACAGTCATTAGTCCTTGCACACATGCTTTTCATCTCGTATTAAAACCAGTGACCTATGGTCTAGACCATAGATTTGTTTGTTTTCTTGATCACATTTTAATGGAAGTGGCAAGTAGATGATCAGCAGATGACATACATGTTTGGTTTTTGGGTTTAAGACATGCCAGTCCTCATGTGGGAAACATCTCTGTATGAGCAACTGTTAATTGCGTACATGAAAAATTTAAGTATTGATGCATAATAATAGCCGTTATACGAACCCACACCTGGCAAATGCTTGCCTATTCATTGGGCCAATGCTGTTCTATTTCTCATTAATTTAATTGTAAAATCAATCTTAGTGTTAATGAAATAAGGGTGTTATTATCTAATACAATACTTCTCTGCAATGTTGTTACATTTGGAGTGTTATTTTGACAAAAAATATGTTGTTTTCTGAGAAATTGATGGATTGAGAAATTCTCAAGTAAATATGTAATTGTTTTTATTGTGTATGTTATCCAGTTTAAGCAGATATTGTTATTTTATACATAATACAAAGTAATAAAACATTATATTGTTTTCCTTTATGGCAATTTTAGAGTTTCAATAATTAAATAAACACAGATTTTGACAACATATTTATTTCTAACACTTAAAGCTCTGGTGCAAGACAATTAATTTTAATGTGTTAACTATTGTGATAAAATTTAAAAAAAACATTAACATAAAATCGTTCATAAATGCTAAGACTATTTTGGTTTAAAAATGTCTCGCACACAATTACTTATTTTTTATTTTAATTTGACATTTCGTTATGTCGAGTGGAGTTTTTATGGGATTAAACAATTTTAACTAAAATAGTCTTATTTTTATGACATATAATTTTTATAACACGAAAGAATTAAAAACAAACACAATAATATTTAAATTTGGCATAATGAGCGAAAATTTCACAAATGTATGTCAATTTTGTAAGCACTAAATTTTCTTGCTTCAATACAAATAAATTTGCGTGTGCCTTGATCATGCTATAAGCAGTAAGACTCGTCTCGATCAGCATAGATCCATATGGAAGGTAAAAAAGGTGTATCACTTTTCCATACTCTCTTATATCTGAGGTTCACTACCATTATAGCTAATATTTTATCGAATGACTCAGTACCCGCTAGATTGTCTATAATCGTCTCTATCTGTACTCTATATGAAAAACTCTACATGATCTATGGTCTATAATAATGGCGCTACAGCCTACACAAATAAGTACAAAAAATAAATTCTAGAACCTAGACGTTACACTTTAACACTTAAATCTTAATATTAATATATTTTACAGAAAACAAAATCACAAATATTATTTGTTAATCCATTTCATTCAAAACGTGTATAGTTTAAAATGATTAAATAACAATTAGCAATATAGTAAGGTGACGGACTGAAAAATAAGTTTAGGTAAAAACACGACATTGGAGCCTCAAACTCCGATGGACGTGAGAATGGGCCTTTTATGTCTAATAACCAAAATAACCGGCGTAGATTTTACGGCCAAGCAATTAATTTGTTTTACGATGATATCTTTTCTATTTGGTATATATAACCCGTGTGTGACCTCAGTAAATAATGCTTTGCGTCTTATTATATCATATTTATACACAATGAAAATACATTATTGAAAAATTTTAGATCCATCTGACAAACATCAATACAAAAGTGCATTAAAAATTAACACATTATAGCTTTTGAGATTCAGGTATATTTTTGAGTCACTATTAAGTATTAGGGCTTAAAGGCTCCAAAAGTGCTAAAGCACCACATTAGTGCGTCTCTGTACACATAAGTAACAAACATTAAAATTTTAATAAATGCTAACATTGGTAAGGACATAATCTATTTAAAATATAAATCTACATAAAGCAAAGATTGCAACAACGCCCATCCCCATAAAGTTAACTTTATTGGCTCCATTACAAAAACTTAGCTCACAGTTATCAGCGACTAGGCCAAGGCGGTTCTTGACTAGACTCCAATCGCAAAGGCCAACATTACAGCCGTCTAAGTACAGGGTGCGCTCGTTAGACAGGAATAACACTTGGTATGGCTCTCTGATCTTTATGTTATTGTTTGGTACACACCTGGAAAACATAAGCTTACACTATAGTAGCGTTAATGGTTTGAGATTCAGAATTTCGGTTATTTTTTGTGCCTTCACCGTACGAGCGAGTGTTAAATGCGTACATAGACTGAGAGTCCATTGGTGCACAGCCGGGATTCGAACCTACCATCTCAGGAATGGGAACTCATCTCAAGAACAGCGGTGTTACAACTTCTAAGCCTAGGCCTCAGATGCCTGTATCTGTGTCGTCTTTAAAGTATAATTTGCGCAAACAAAATAAAAACGGGATTTAGAGGCTTTAGAGAGTCAAGTGAAAGTTCTTAAAGAATGAAATAAAAATTCATAAACTTACTTGTAAAGCACGGCAGCGAGGTTTGCGTTGAAAGGGGACATGTTAGAAGAACTCCAGCGTCGCTCTCTCGCGGTCTGTGTATGATAATTGTCACCAGTAAGCGGAGCTGAATCTCTGTATCCGCCGAGCGCTGTCAGAGTAAGAAGTATCATTTCCGCTTCTGTGAAATGGACTGTTGCTTTCGGCTGCTGAGGAGTTTCTGAAATCATAAAATGTAATAATTTTTAACTGATTGTAACGCTATTATCATAAAACCCTTTTAACTAAAGTTGATCTTTTTTAAATATAACTAGCGGACCCGAAAGACTCTGAACACGTCTTAAAAAACAAAATTTATCAATTGTACTTACACCTAAACCATTCTCGAAAACTTCAACAGACATAAAAAAGTTAATCAAAATCGGTGTAGCCGTTTAAGAGGAGTTTAATTTCATACTCATAATTAAACGCACAGATGATTTATATACATAAAGATGAATTACATTTTAATACGCCCAAGATAATATTAATGCATTACAAGAACTGAGAATCATTTGTAATTACAAAATAATCTTCATTATTATTATTAGAATAAAAAATTACATATATAATATATATTACCATGATCTAAGTGAATTTTAAAGAAGTCCATCATATCCTTTACAGCTGTGCAACCAATTTTTTGGTTCATCAGAGTTCCGTACCCGTATTTGTAATACGTTTCCAAATCTTCCGAAAACTCAAGCCGCTTAATGTCCTCTTTTGTGAACACCTAAAAAAAATTAAACCGCACATGTTAGGTACAGTAGAACCTCGATAACGTAAACCTCGGTAACATAAAAACCTCTGTTACTTCAAAAAATACTATGTTCCCTTCCCATCAGAGCCCAAAACCTCTATAACTTAAAATATGCAACCTCTATAACGTAAATAAATAATCTCTGTATAGGCCCTCAGTAACTAAAAGAAATGTTTCCACAACCTCTATAACATAAAATTGTTTGTGAATGAGTCATTTTATAAGTGTCAAAACAAATGGTTTCGGTATTTATTGCTTGCACGTGTTTACTAATGTATTGTTAACGTAAACAATACATTACCTATTGTTTGCTTTATCTAAATTCTTCAAAGCTTTGCGGCGGTTAGCTTTGTGACAACGACTTACTTGCATCATAAGTTAATGTGTTAATGTATTCTCCTCTCTATTTGTCATTGAAAATCAAATCGATTATAAACAGTGAATTTTTTAAAACAAAAGAAAATCACAGTTTTTTTTAAGTAGACTAAACCTTTAGTTGTTGTTTTATTTTTATGTAATGTAAGTAATGTGAATAAATATGATTAAATATTTAATTTTCCATCCTTCTGATGCATTCAAGTAAAAATGGGAGGAAGGGTACATAGAAACATGTACATACCTCTATATTAGCCTTTACCTGACACAGAACCTTGATAACTTAAAACCTCGATAACATAAAATATTTTGTGTTTCCCTTGGACTTTATCTTATCGAGGTTCTACTGTACTACCCCCACGGTAGAGTAAATTAAATGCAAACATTTAAAAAACAAAACTGGAAGAAAGAACGCTGAACTGTTTCTCCAAGCTAAAAGCTTGTATTGTAAAACCAAAGAGATGTGAAGCTAAAGATATAATGACAGATTGCCTATACTAGCGCGATTCAGGGACTGACGTAGCCGCATATCGTCGCTACAGAACGATGGTGTGGTTCCTTTGATTTTAATTGGTTGGTTCATAGATACGTCAGATTCGTCGTTACCGTTGTTAAATAATGTATTTATTTAAATTGTAATAAATTTATATTGCTACACAGTAGATGTAACTTTGTTCTCACTACACCAGAATACATTTGTGTTAGGTGCGTTAGTACCTAACACAAATGTATTCTGGTGTATCATACTGTACACATAATGTAATCATGTGTTTGTTAGTACATTTTTTTATAAAGAAACGGGGGCAAACGTGGAACTCCTTGCCCCCTACAATCTTTCCTAGATAGTAGGTATAATATAATTTCATTTAAGAAGGCAGTTAATCAGACATATCCTGGACAGGCCCTCCAATATCCCTCTTTTAAATGATTATAAATTGCTATTATTAGTATAATCACAATTAAACGAAGCTACAAGCTACCCATGGTACGTTTATGAATCGTAAAGAATTTAAACTTACAGAACACCAGGGTGATATTTTTTCGATTTCCCACGCCTTGTTGTAACGGCACATTTCGTACATGCTCAAAACTGTTGCAAGACTTATATCGTAGGTAAAACCAAGTCTCAATGAGATGTTGGTTATCATCTGAAAAAATTAGATTTTAGTAAAAAAAAATTTGGAGAATTTTGAAAAATGTAACAATGGTTACCTCTTTATATTCTTGCTTAGATTCAAATGTTCTCAGTTGTGCTAGCGTTTCATTGTTTTCTTCAACATCTCTCGTCCACGCTGGGCAGAATTTGTAAGGCTAAAACAACATACAAAATATATAAATAGATTTGAACCTTTTATCTGTAATATAGTAAGTCTTATTTAACCCTAAATCCCCCATTAGCAGGTAGTGACAGCCTGGAGTTATTCCTACACCAAAACAGCTAATGGACTATATTGTAATCTTGAACAAGGGTTAGTATCTACTGGAAAAGTTTGTCATACGGGCTTATAAAAGATGGGCGTAGTAGTGAATTAAAACGTAACTATGGTAACAAATACCACGTCATATGAAGTCAACGTTTTATAAGATGTAAAATTACGAGTATTTAGGGCTTTAATCTTTGAAGTTATTTCTAAAATAGTTGGTTTTTATACGGCCTAGTTTTGAAATACTATAAAGCTTTAAATCAGACAATACATAATTACCCGAAGTAATTTCTCGTCGGTCTCTTTGGGAACATCCATTCCTTCAGCCTGGTCCCTAAACAGTCCCTCAGTAAACGCACGGAATGTTGTACTAGATCGTTGGTCGTTTACATATTTGAACTGAAAACAACGATTAATAAGCCTCGAAGTGAAACGCTGTTACGGTTATTTTTCTGTATAACGAATCTTTGTTTTGATAATTGATAACTTTGCAACGTTTACGAAAGAATTATAGTATTTAAATGTGGTAAATTATTTTTTTCTTCTTGTTCTATCTCTGCGTGGCAGCGTATTTATTTCATGAAAGTAATGATGGGACTCAAGAAGGATCAAAAGATTCATTGTAGCGTAGATTTTGTACCGGTCTCCCGGGATACCTAGGTATAATATGTTCACGACATACCAAGTAATCATAACGGTTATCTGTGAACAGTCCAGGGTACTTAGACCTCCATGCTTGGGCAAGTTGCTGCGTTGACATGTAACCGTCCGTGGTCAGGTCACCAGCGTATGTCGCGTTCTGACGAGAGTTCCATGACCATTGTTCTAAGAGGTTCACGTCAGCTGCACACATGCGTTGCTGGAAAGACGAAAGAAAGAGAGTTCGTTATCTTCTTCTTCTTCATAAAAAATCATACGTAATAATGATTTATTAATAAAAATATCAGTCTATTATCATACAGTTATCCTGTGATGAAAAGAGACTAATCGGATGGTCAGAAGATAAAACAACTAATAACATTCAAATTCTTCTGTTTTATATTAAACACCAGTGCTTTAAATATGTATATAGGACTAAATAACTGTAGGATTAAATTAAAAAAAGTGTTCTAAATAATAAATTATATTTTTATGTAAACCTGAGTAGTACGGCTTCATATGGGTTGCAATGATTAGGTATATCAGTAAGGCAAGTTATTGTTAGATTGCAGCCTGAATTTTAATCATTTTAGGAGTTCTGATTGGTTTCTATTCCTGGGACCCATTCTATTATAAGCTAATAAAAATTTACTGTAACAAGCACGAGTTGCCTTTTATAGAATATTCCATAGTGCGCTAATGGCAGCAATTCTAGTAAAAGCTACAGTCAAACGCCAAATTATACCTTGCGTGGCTTATTAAAAGAACTTAAACGTATAAATTCTAAGAGTAATTGAAGCAGGCAGAGATTTTTGAACTAATGAAAAGAATTGATTGATCTAAACTATAGTATGAAGCCAACAAGATATGTATGCTAATTTTCCAAATAAATGAAGAATTTAACAAAGGATTCTTTTATAGTTCTCTTTGAGCGTTAATTTTCTTACGTCACTTAAGGCTTCATATTGTGTACTAATTATCTATGTCTATATTTATATGATATATATCTATTATCTATCTATTACGTAGGTAAAATTTATACCTTTCCCTCTAGGAAAAGTATAGGCATGCCTTATCTATAAGAAATGGTCCGAGGGAAATGAAAATAAAGTATTTACCATGAAATGACATTTGACGGTCACGAAAGCGTTAACTAATGGTTGGTCACGCAAAATACGCTTCTTCGAATACCATTATATAGTTTCATATTTTTTTGTAAAAATTATTGGTTTTGATAAAGTATTCTATCGAATGTCAAGGGTCTTAAAAATGTATCTTTCTGTGTTGACCTATTTATTTGTTGCCAACCAAGTATATTTTGTAATAAATTTACCTTAGCAACTGTGTTTATACTTTTTTTTAGGTTTTGCTTTATCACTTGTGTCATGTCGCACCCTCAGTAATATAAAGTAAAGATTTTTATTGATTTCACAAAAACGGTGGCTCTTAAGAAAAAAGTATTTAGACATTTTTTATAGATAATTATCTGATCTACAATTTTTGTCTGAGCTAATTTACCATTTTGCTGAAAATCGCGAAAAACCCGTTTTTGTGATCTTTGACCCCGAGTAAATTTTTTTGCACGTGCCGGATCGATGAGGACTTTTCACATTTCCTTTATAATAGTGTATTGAACAATCCTACCAATATTCAGCCAAGTGGGAATTTTTGTAACCTTGGATGTCTAAATTGACCGGACTATCCGGCTTGTTTTTTGAATAAAATTGCTTGTTTTTTTACTGAACTCCTGTTTATGAAAGTTTACATATTTGTTCTTTGATAATGTTAACTTTAGGAAGCTTTGGAAATAATTTTAAGTTCTATGAAGATGACAAAAAAAATTTGTTGGGCCCCTATAGTACACAAATTATGTAATATACTGAATCAGTCAGGAACAATTCCATGTAACGACTGCAGTTTTTCGCAATATAGGGATCTACTACATATAAGACCTACAAATTAACTTATTTTATATATTTTTATAATATATTGAAATCAAATACGAATGGTTACAGAAACAGAATTCTAAACGTGTGTAACGAAACTCATCTACAACGGGTACAAACCCGAATTTCACAACGTTTGAATAGTCTAACTTATTTAATATGGACACTTTACTAATTAGTAACTTGTAGCAGTAAGATCAGGATAGCCGCAACTATATTTACCGAGTTATTATTGTCCTTTTTCGTCTCTGGAGAATTTCATTTTGTGCCATTAGCATCTATAATCTTACTTTACTAAAAGGGCCCTACTTGGTATTACTAAGGTGTGTAGTTAATAAATAAATTACGCTCACAATCTTTGGGCATTGTAATGTAAACTCTATAAATAGGCAAAGAGATGCCATTTTAATTTATGAGATTTCAAAGATTTCAGTAAAAGTCTAGTAGTGGGAATGGTACTGTACTGGCACTCCATACATTTCTACGATTTATGTCTTAACTGTACATAAAATCTAGCACCAGCTCTTAACAACCCTATCCAGAGTCGTCAATTATCGTGTATTATGGTTATTAATTGAAAACCGATTAAGATAGTAAAGGGCACTTTAACACCTTTTAACTTCTAGGACCAACTGTGTTGTTATGAAAATTGTTATATCTCAATAAACTAATCTAGTATGCCCGTAAGCTTATTAAAAAAATACTTACATTAGTATTTCTAAAGTTTCCGTTCCTGTAATTGGATATGACGTTGTTCTTGAAATCTATTAGCTTCTGTAGTTCAGATAATTCGTCCGCTTCAGGGTTGTGTGATCCGTGCCGGTTCAGTAACCAAATTGCTATTGGTTGACAACCTAGAAACGAAAATTGCGTTTATATTTAAAGTGTTTTTTCCAATAGCTAAATAGCGTCACACAATACCAGAATAACCTACGTTAAATTGGTTTGAAAATACTGCCACAAATTAAGCGTTCGGAATTATTAGAAGTAAGGAGTAATATAAAGGCTTAATATTTAATATGCCCTAGCCCTAGAAAAAAAAATCCTTTCGTTGAGTACTTCAAGTATATAAGGTTTTTAATTTGTTAAAAGCTTTGCGAACTTTATGACATGCTCAGGTCTTTTTAGGCCATACTAGAAGATCCAACAAAAAACGAATTAAATATTTTTATAAAACAGATTAAACAGGTGTTTTCATACTTAATATGAAAATGTAAATCATAAAGGCCATGACGACATACAATGCTAATTGTGTGGGGAGTTAACATGCTAAGATGAGATTTAGGGTTTATTTTTATTTTTTTCATACATAAATCATGACTCTTGTGTATCCAAGAATTTGTATAAATACTTTATATTATTACTATAAAACTATAAATTGGCGCGTAAGCAATTGACATTGCAATCTAACAAAATGGCGGCTTCCTTCGTTATCGGTTGCTTTTGCGTACCAGAGACAATTAATGTTCGCGCTCTCAATCATTATAATATCTTGTGTATGAGTCTGAAATTTGCTATTAAGATTGGTAGATAGACAAATGTATTTGTGTTATCAATTGCAGCCATTACATTGACATACCTTGTATTTCTAACCAATATTGTAATTCAACCTTCATAGTCAATGGACAATAAATAATGTGGGTATCGCACAGTCTTGCAAATATATTTTAAATGCATCGAGCCGTTAATAATGCCTTTTACGTCACGTTTAAGCAAACGTTTAAATTTTCTTGGCAATTTTCCAAATGCTAATGTGAAAATGCCCAAGACATATGACTCAGTCGACCTTACCATGGAAAATAAAAGAATGCGCTGTAGAGAACGCTTATTATATGTAAATTCCATGGTATGTTTGTAACTAGCCAATTTAACTTTTGATAGATGATACAAAAATTACCTAAAATTTACATGTATGACCTGCGAGTATATTCATCTCAAATATGGAAAATTAATTTAATATGATTTTTTTTTCGCAGGAACTGCTTACATCTTTATCTACCGATGCCTTTTTAGTACAATTTATAATACTTGTAAATAATTTACTGCTATGGCTGCTGGGCTACTTGAAACGAATGCTGGAACTAGGGCAGCAGAAGTGATTGCCGAGGACACCTCAACAATGGAGTGGATAAAAAAGAGTCGTAGGCCGGTGCAATTGCTATAATTATTTTTAAATTAAGCCAGCCAGCATGCAGAGACACTACCCACGTAAAGCAGGGTCAGATCGCTAGTTTTAGAAAATAATATAATTAGCCTTTACATCGTATGGGCTAAAATGTTGGTGGTGAAAATATTAAAAATTTTCCTGGTAAATCGCAATTTGCAAATCGTTATCATGCTTTTATGGTTTTGTAAATATGTTCAAGTCATGCAATCTGCGGCTTACGAACAAACGAAAAAAAAAAAAAATTATTAGAGAAAAAATTCATTACTTAGTTCTTAGTATAAATTTTATTACAAAGTCACAGAGTAGCAATGAATAGAAATAGCGTTTTCTATACTAATATTATAAAGAGGAAACATTATGTTTTTGTATGTATGTGTTTAAGGTTTTCACACAAAAGCTACTAGACCGATTTCAAAAATTATTTTACCATGAGAAAGCTGCATCTTCACTGACGTAGGCTATATTACATTTTCAAATAGGGATCCGTAACAAAAATGCAATAATATAACCCAAGGTGTGAAAAAATTATCCATAAAAACCTGTAATCGCCTGCGCTATGGAAACTATGGATGATAGAACAAAAAATTTTTGTACAGTATTATAGAACGTATAAATATCTACAAAATGAATGTTTTATGGGCCTATCCCGAGTCGGAACTCCAAAAAAATACTACGTCAAATGTTTTGAATAGGGAAGTTATAAGACACTGAAGTTCTACAAATAAATCTTTTCTCTAATATTATAGAAGAAAGTTTTTCATTTTGAATTTTGGTTTTTATTTTTAACAATTTATAATAATCAAGCTAAAAATTCCTGGACTAATTAAAAAAATATATTTCAGTACCTGCTTGAAATAATACAGCATACTGAGTTAATGATGAAAAAAAAAAAAAAAAAAAAAAAAAAAAAAAAAAAAAAAAAAAAAAAAAAAAAAAAAAAAAAAAAAAAAAAAAAAAAAAAAAAAGGGGGGGGGGGGGGGGGGAAAAAAAAGGGAGGAAGAAAAAAAAAAAAAAAAAAAAAAAAAAAAAAAAAAAAAAAAAAAAAAAAAAAAAAAAAACAAAAAAAAAAAAAAAAAAAAAAAAAAAAAAAAAAAAAAAAAAAAAAAAAAAAAAAAAAAAAAAAAAAAAGGAGGGGGAAGAAAAAAAAAAAAAAAAAAAATTCCCCAAAAAAAAAAAAAAAAAATTTTTTTAAAAAAAAAAAAAAAAAAAAAATAACACAAAAGGGAAAAAGTTTTTTATATATATTTAGGGTTTTATATTAGCTTAAAAAAAGAACCCAAAAGGCTCACCGGATGAGTCAGCCGGCCTTGCTCCTAGTTACCGATGTTGCGTGCAATTTGTTACTTTCAGACGGTTGACCTAACACTAATTATATTAGCCGCTAAATACTCGTATATTAGGACTAATGAGTGACAGTAATATTAATTATAAGCATAACTAATGTATGCTAGAATTCCAAACTAATATTTAATTACATATGTCTAGACTAGAAAATGCGTAAATTGTGAACACTATTAAAATAGTCGATTTCTGTGAAAGTTGCAAGTGGCTTAAAGTATAATTTCAGATTATTTATTTAGATAGCTATGTCGGGGCTAGTAGCAAAAGATCTGAAAACGCATATGCGACCAGGAACTAGATTAAAAAATAATATTATATAAAGTTTACATATATTGTTTATGTAAAATGACACAGATCAAATTGTACGGTATTATATTTAAATGAATGTACTTAGTACGTACCTATCATACGAACAAAAGAAAAATGTAATAAATTAATTAATTAGTACTTAGCATAAATTTTACAGCATAGTTGTAGGTTGGCAAGGAATTGAAATAGCGGAATAGAATTTAAATTCGCATGCTTTATAGATTGTTTAGTATCAATTGTATTTTACAAAAAAAAAAAAAAAAATTCTATCGGAATTACGTATCATATCTTGGCCGTATCCGTAACGACTTGCAGACCAAAATGATACGCAAACCTGGTAGGCGTTATACGTCTTAGCTCCGGAACATCCGAGAGAGGACGAGGGAACGAAAAAAACGAAAGTCAGTGGAACAATTGTTAGATTGCGCATAACAACCTTGGAGAGGCACCGAATGAGAGAGAGAGATGTTAAATGTAATTTCATACATTTAATTTAATTTAAAAAACATGCTACATAAGTTATTAGGCAACGGGTGGCGTTAACTCTAACAAGCGATTTCTTCCAGGTAAACCTCGTATGGTAAAATAAAAAAAGACATAACTACTAACGTACAAGAAGTACATAAATTTACCAAAAACATAATATTACATGTAACACTTACAATATATAACTAAATATATATATATATATATATATATATATATATAATATATATAATTGGTATATAAATAATATATACTCTATAATATACACTATAATAATAATAGGTTGGGGAAAAAGTTTCTTCGCATTTTTTAAGAAAATTAAAAACATTTTTTAATATAGTTTATTTACATTTCACTAAAGTATGTAGGTACCATTTTGTTCGATAACTTGTTGCCATCATTTAGGTAGGGACAAGATCCCATTGATATAGAAATTTTGGGGCTTCTGATCAAAATACCGCGACAATTGGTTTTGGCAGTCCTCTCGTGATGTTAAGCCTATGATCGACGGGCGAGTAAGACCGTGGTTTTAAATACCGACGAACCTGGCTCGCGGCTCGTTGGTGCTGATCGATTAGCAAGCAAAACAGTCGCAAACATGTCTTGTTCCAAGTCTGAAGCCTTGTGTTATCTCGCCATAGGATATTACGCAGTTATGAAAAAAAAAGAAAACGCCCTAAAGTTTGGGTTAAAAGTTGGATTGAAAAAAGGCAAGCTTTGTCACATACCCATTCAAGAATTGGCAGCAGAGCCACTTGATTACCAAAATTATCTGAGAATGTCTGAGGAATCGTACAACGAGTTGTTATCTTTAGTGACACCTTTAATACAAAAACAAGACACTGTACCTAATGCGAGAAGCTATTTCTCCACATGAACGTCTGACTGCTACAATCAAATACCTGGCAGAAGGGAAAAATCAAACCAGTTTGCAGTATCCTACTTTAATATCAGTGAAATTAAAAAATTAAATTAAATTATTTGACTGAATTTTTTTCTTAATATCGGGTATATCCGAGTTTGGTTCATATTTTTTTGCAATATCCACGAGTTTATTATATGCTGCAAGCCTATATGCTTTGTTTTTATACTCGCTTGATTTAGTTTGCCATAAACAGGGACAGTCTCGAAAGGCATTTATAAATTGTATTATAAAATCGTGGCTGCAAGTACGTAGATCCATTATTGTGACACGGACTGAGCACGCACGCGAAGTTTGTAGTAGGTAGGTACACAGCTCTTCTGGCGCACATCCGTCCTCTAGCGCTGTCGCCGAAAAGTGAAGGCTCGGCTCGCCGGCCGTGATCGACACGCGGTTTTGTATGGCGAGCCGAGTAAAAAATATAGCACGACGACGAGCCGCGAGCCAGGCTCGGCGGTATTTAAAACCGTGGTTTTGCAATGATAAACCGGCGAGCTTTACCGACGAGCCATAAAACCGCGGTCTTACTCGTCCGTCGATCAGGCCCTTTAACCTGACACTGCCTAAAGAATTCTGAAAAGACTGAAACAGGTGGAAACCTGAAGGTGCAAGGTCAGGACTATACGGCGGACGCATTAACACCTCCCAGCCAAGCTCTCTTAGTTTTTGCTGAGTGGCTAAAGATGTGTGAGGTCTAGCGATATCATGATGAAAAACCACACCCCTTCTGGTGATTAATTTCGGCCGCTTTCTCTCAACTTCTTGCTTTAATCTCATCAGTTGTTCGCAGTAGAGTTCAGAATCGATGGTCCTGCCTGGTGGTAACAGCTCATAATGAATAAAAAAAAGTTGATTTCGGACATATTTAACGCCTGGGAAGAATCATATGATGGAGTCGGCGTCTTTTGTGACCTGTCAAAGGCCTTTGACTGTGTTCATCCTGATATACTCGTTGGAAAGCTTCAACACTATGGCGTTGATGGCAAAGCTTCCAGCCTGATGAATTCATATTTAAAGGGAAGGATCCAAAGAGTTCATGTCAATGGAGTCACCTCTCCGGGTTCGCAGGTATCAATGGGCGTCCCCCAAGGATCGATTCTCGGGCCTTTCTTATTTCTGATTTACATAAATGACCTCCCATTCTTTGTCAACGAAGTTCATGAGATGGTATTGTTTGCTGATGACACTTCACTTCTATTTAAAGTGAATAGGAATAACGTATTATTGGACGATGTAAACAATTCTATCTCTCGTATAGTTAACTGGTTTAATGTAAATAACTTATTGCTTAATGAGAATAAAACAAAATGTATTAGATTTACAACTACTAGCGTAAAGCGAGATATTGGTAACCTGAAAATTAAGGACAGTGAACTAAACTTTGTTGACAA